GGTAACCAGTAGGTTTGTCCCCATTCAATCAATGTGACCTTTTCCCACATCACATCAATACTGGCAGAGCAGTAAAAATACCAAGCATTTTGTTTAGAAAAACACATTAAAATAAAGCAAGACGAGAGCTTTGTATGAATCTTTATGAAAGCACTTTGTTGCTTGTGCAACCCTACATGTCGTGATGGTCAAGAAGTCACTGTTGGGTAATCATCAGCACAGTTTTTAAAAATCGTGTGTCTTGGTGGCTTCAGAGATGTATTTCTTGAATTTATTTCCCAAGTACTTAACACAATATGCCAATCAGAAACAACATTAGAACCAGCTGCCTAACATTGTGTAGGTCGGCTTTAAGTTTCTAAAACAGCTCCGACCCATCAGACTGTGTTTTCTGGCACTGGGCCACTGTCAGTGGATTCTTTGAGTGGTGATTTGTGGCCTGTGATCAGGTTCTGTGGCTAGGGCTTGCGAATGCTTCGTTGGATCGAGATCTGGTGGGGTGGAAGTTCTGGTCAAAGCCTTGGGCTCTTGGTCGTGTTCCTCTAACACTTCCTTAGTTAGGTGCAGGGGTTTCCTAGCAGACTGTTGCATTCTAAAGGCCAATTCATGTTTTCTGCCTCCATGCATTCACAAGGGTGGGTGTGGCATAAATTGTGACATCTGCCGGAGTGTGCGAGGGTCTGTGCCAATACATCTGCAGATGCCCATGTGCAGGCCCAAGTTAGTGACAGACTGTACACACTGCATACTGTACAACTGCAAAGCAAATGGTGCTCAAAAGAAATGTTTGTTATGTGGAGGGACTCTATAAGGAGACACTCCATCATCCACACCTTTTCATTAACAGAGCTGTAATTGAAGTAGTCGCAGCTGCACTTCTGAGGCACTTGTATTTGTGCATGCCTTTCATTGATTGCGCACAAACAGTAGTAGGAAGGTTTAAACTCTCCAGTAATCCTGAGCTGTGTCCACCCACTGCTCGACACACCTCAGAAATAATCAGTGACACGGAGCTACAGCCCTATCTGTAACCAGCTGCTGTATCCTGTAATATCCAAAGGAGCACTGTGTGTTATTCTGTATTCAATATGAGGGACAATGCGACATGTCTGTGGAGGTCAGTGCATACTGTGTATAGTATGACTACCTGGAACCGCTTTTGTGTCCGCTGTCCACTTTTTAAGTCTGCATCAGTCTGTGCACATGGATGCAGAAACCATGATTTGACCTTAATAGGATGACTAAAGCTATTCAGTTCACCTGTGGTTTGGTGTATGTACAAAATGACCCTGGTAAAAACAAAAGACCTCAGTCATCATTTTCGAAATGAGACTATTTCTTTTGTCATTGAGTAGAGCAAAATACAGGATTGTAATGTGATTACATCAATAAGCCTATGAAATGAAATGCATGACAGCGAAATAGAGATCTGTATGATGAAACCACAAGATAAGGGTGAATTCAGCATTATTAAAATATAAGTTTGCACTATTTTATTCACTGTGGAAGGTTTTAACTGACTGCTTTCATAATTGGGTAGACTGACCAGCCGTGGAGAACACAGGGGTTGATTATTCACTGGGGGTGTGAAATAGTAAAAGGAAAAATTATAACGAAAAAGACCTGATAGAGGCATCACTGCAGCCCACCAGTACGGTCGCTTGGTACATCTTGAACACTGTGGAACCAATTGATGAAAAAAAGTTAAATTAAAGCCACATGATGAAAGAGTTCTTGGGCCATCAAAAGGAGCAAAAAACACTTGTGACAACATGACTCCTGATTTATTGATTTCCCAGCTCAATTTTTCCATCCAGGGTGCTTCGAAAGAGCAAAGCAATCTCTGAGTTTGTTGGCTGTTGTTACATTCCCTTGGCAAATGGACACTCTCCGCAAACACACACATGCTCACACACTGGGGTATGACCCAACGCACAAACACATGGAGCTCCCCGAGGGGCGGAGTTTTTAATCCTCAAATACACTGCCATAAATCAAACCCCTGTCCTCATGCCCCAGCTCGTCTCTCTCAATGAAAAGCTCAAGCTAGTGGCACATTAATGGCAATTTACAGGGCCAGTCATGCGGAGAGAGGAGCATCAACAGAGCGTCCTTTATTTTGTAATTCCTTATTACTTTTGCTCACTACACGGCCACTGAATTGGTAACGGTGGAGGATGTGACCTACCTACTACATCACTGCCTCTGAGTGGTTGTCAGCCATATTATGCCTTTCCACAAACCCCTAATCTTGCAATCAGAATGTGCCCCTTTACATATCTTAATAAATATATTAATACTGACTGCTGTTTCTATTGTTTTGTCCATTTCATTTATATCAGTGAGGATACACTCAAAACCACAAACACATGCATTAGAAAACAGCACCACAGACACCTCAAATCAACCATCCTCTGAAACAGTAAAGTATAACCATATAACCAACAGTATAACCATCGTCAGTTTCAGATTTGTTGCAAGACTACTCTGGGTTTAGCTAAGTTTACCTAATTAACTGGCAAGTGAGTGTATTAACTCACGTACTGTTATAGTTACAGTAACAGATAAAGCATTGAAATAGTAAGTAATATATATTATTTAAATTCTGGTGTACAACATTATCATTCTGCTATAAGGGCTTTGGTATGTTTGTATTTCTTTAAACCAATCACAGGTGTTGTGGGTGGGGCTAAGTGAAGAATGCGGCTGAAAATGAGATTGACAGAACTGGTTTGTTGGAACGTTGGCATGTAGGGAGATGAGTACTGTTATTAAAATGAATAGTTCACCACAAAAAGCTGACAGGGCTGCCCTTCTATTAATGTTGTTAGATAATGGAAGGAAGGACAAAGCCAATTGAAATGATTAGTTGCTGAAACCGCATCCTGCATCCGGCGAGTCCAACTAACTGTGTAGTAAAGTGAAAATAATGGAAAAGCAATGGAAGCAAGTAGCCTAAAGGTTCTGTCTGCAACTTTTCAGAGCCACTGAATGTTGCTAGAGCACCAGCATCTCAGACTGAAATACCTCCCCCCAACCTTCACTTTCATTTACAGCCAGAAAGGCTGTGGACACAAGAACCAACACAATATTCCAGCCAGAGCCATTAACCCACACTAGCATTGTAAAATACATTAAGTGGTCATAGCAACTTCTTTTCAACCCATGATCGTAAGTAACGTTATTCACTTGTTGTCTGTTCCACTCCATGTGTCTGTTTCTACAGTCCATGAGACAGAGTGCACATAAGTTAAGTAAAAATCATGAATTCAATTCTTGTAAATTCTTTGGAATTTTAGGGAACCAACTAAATAGCCTGGACTACACTTTGACTTGTCCAGTGAAGTGTGGGAGAAATGGACATGCATGTGCAAAGCTGAAAGCAGTACTCAGCTATGAAAAGTTCCAGGACTGGTGTAACAACAAATATATTTCAAATCCAAACTACAAACTACCAGTTTTCCCCTTTAAAGTAATCCCCCTGGAGTCTAACACACTTTCCCAGCCTTCTCTGCCACGCCGCCATGCACTCCTGGAAGGATTCTTCTGGGATCCGTCGTCACAGCCATCATGATGCGTCCACGTCTTCAAAACGGGTCCCCTTGATGACCTCTTTGAGCTTGGGGAAGAGGAAACAATCCCACAGAGCCAGGTGGAGTGAGTAGGGAGGTTGCTCCAGCACGGCCAAGTTCTTCTCAGCCAGGAACTGTCAGATGCTCAGGGCATTGTGAGCAGACGCGTTGTCATGGTGAAGCAGCCACGACTTGTCCTGCCACGACTCTCTCCTCTTCTCACACACTGAACAAAGCTGCAGGATCTCTTTGTACACCTGCTGGTTGACCTTGTGAAGGGGAAACCCTCTTGTTTGTAGTTTGGGTTTGAGATATATCGTTTATGACACCAGTCCTGGAACTTTTCTGACACACCTTGTATATCCAAAAATGTATTTTCTCTGAAAACCAGTAAGCGTAGAAGGAATTGATTATAAATGGATGATTAGCATATAAATAAATGCTAACATAAGAACTTACAGTTATGTTTCTTTGCATAGGAGATCACTGTTTGTAAGCACAGTCTGCAGTTTCAATGGGGGGAACTCACATGCACTAATGTGTTGACCAGCTGACAAAAGACAACAATAGAACAGAGGAGATCGGACTACACCACATACAGAGGGGCTTTGACTCTGCTGAGGATGCCATTACTGCACGAAACCTTTACATTGCAGACATTTGTTTAGTGCTATATTTATATTCAAAATGTTGTATATTTCACCTTTATAGTATTCAATAAGTGTATATACAGTATGTAGCTAACATTACTAAATAATATTCAACAGTTCACTAAGAGTAATCAATAAACATTATAAAACGTTATGTTTTAGAAAATGAACACTTTACATAATACAGTTGGCTAAGAGCAATAAATTAACAAAAACTAAAATAAGTAACTAAAATGGACTAACAACTTGCCACCAGTGAGCTAAAAGTATAATAACTTGTGAATGGAACTAGAAGTAATGGATTAACAGTGGAAGTGCACTAGTTACCCGTGCTAAAAGTTAAGAAGTCAGGGTGCTGGGACCGACGGAAACAACCACGTCATGCTGCATACAAATATCTATAAACTGTCATTATGAGAGGCTCGTGCTTAATTGGGGAGCGTTTAGCCACAGTCACTTTCCACTTCCTGCACATTGTGTATGTAATGACAGGGCAGGGAGCAGAGTGTTCCAAAACACCACTCAAAGCTGCACATTCTCGCTACTACAGATGTCAGTCATCATCGATCATTACAAGCTTAAACTGTAATAAAACAAAGTGTGCATTACTTTTTTATATCAGGATATTAATGAGTGCTATTATTGCAGTATTATGTCATACCACAAAAAAGTTGCTAATACTTAGTGTGGATTATTTTAACATGGCTCACATCTGGTGTGACATCTGACACATTTTCAAATGTGTTTCTGTCTATCTGACATACTTTGTTGTTTTCAGGTGGAATGGCTGAAAAACGAGGAACCTCTGAGCTTTGATGACGACGGCGTCGGTGATTCAAGAGGTGATCATAATCTCATCATCTCAGAAGCCCGCCTCTCAGACTCTGGAAACTATACGTGCGTTGCCAGCAACATCGTGGCCAAGAGGCGCAGTGCCACAGCTACTGTTGTGGTCTACGGTAAGATGTCAAAGTCCAGGTTTTCTTATTTTTCAAAAGAAGATGTTTTTCAGCTTAGATTCTGTGACTGCCAAAAAGTCATGATGGCAGGTTTGCGGTACAGATGATCAAAGTGGTGCCAAACAGCTTTCTTGTCTGCATCAAAATATCAATTTTCACTACAGAAGTATGGTGTCAAATTGGCACCTCAAGCAAATTCCCCAAATCATTAATATAAAAAGCACTGCTCAGCCACAGCGTGTGGTCTTTTTTCACGCTACAGACTAATGAGCAGGTAATGGGCAAATGATCCCTTGTGTTGAAACAAGGAGACACAGGCACAATATTTACAAGAACTCAATTATTAATGATGGAAAGGCTGTGACGCGGCCTGTCACCACTCCCCAGCCTTTATCTGCCAGCACTAAACACCTTGTGTAAAACACTCTGTATAGCTGCAGGCCGGCAGACAGTGTTTGCAGCACTTTTATTGCCTTGTAGAAAGTGAAATTATTGTGTCATACTAGCACCACCTCCTCTCACACTGAAGGATAACCTTAATTGGAGTGTTTCAGTGCTCGTTTAACTGATCTCTCAGCCCGTTATTTTATTTTTTCAGAGAGGGAATTTAGCTCCTGTAAGAATACATCTGAGTCTTTCTGACACCCCATTGCTGAGGTACATCAATCATGAATTTCCATACTGCTAATGAAGTCCCTGACAGGCTTACTATTCCCGATAGCCTCCAACAGATGTACAATAATGGAATAGTAGTAATTCTTCCTTCTCTATGACAGCAAATGAGCTGATTAGTCGATCATCCTGTATTATTTTAGGAAACAAATCAGTGGAGGAGGCGTAAGTAGACAGAAGGAAAGACGCTGTTGATCATTTTTGTAAAGACACCATGTTTTTTTTTTTTCCTGATGTTTATTGTCACCTCTGAGTGAACCCTGTGATGCAGTCACTGTGGTGCTGTTTTGCAAGACATACAATATATTGTTAACCACACAAAGTACGCTTGTTTGCATTCTTGTGGAATCTCTTTATACCTGTCTTCTCATCCTTTGGCACCTACAGTGAACGGGGGCTGGTCATCGTGGACGGACTGGTCGCCCTGTAATGTACGCTGTGGTCGGGGGGTGCAGAAACGTTCTCGTACATGCACAAATCCAGCTCCTCTCAATGGAGGAGCCTTCTGTGAGGGCATGTCAGTGCAGAAGAGCACCTGCAACACAGTGTGTCCAGGTAAGACCAAAGGCATATTGTCCTCATGATGTTAATGTGTATGCTTCATCACACGCTGCAGCGGTTTACACTTTTTAAAGCTGCCTTCCCACCTGCAGATAACAGTTCTGTTCATCTTGTGAAAATCAACTGCCAAATGAAAGATTTATAGCCACGGGTTATAGTTAGCTATGCTTCAGTGATCCCTCCATTTCTTGTGATTCAGGTCCTGAAATCTCTCATTGTGAAACTGATAGCTTTTAGAAAGAAAATGTTTGACATTTTGGAATAATGCACCTATTTTGCTTTCTTGCACAGTGTCAGATAATGAGATCGATACAATATGAATATTATATCTGCTTGTTGAATTCTACACTGCTATCAGTTGGTTAGCTTAGATTTGGCCATGGAGGGTGGATCTACCCAACTGTAGCAGAGGACATCTACCAAACCTCTAAGCTGTATCTTTGTTCTTTCTTTTTTTTTGCACACGGCTCCACTCTTGTTGCACACAATTTCAATTTCACAACTCACATTGCCCAATGAGCATTTTTTTTTTTAAGAAGACATTTAACATTTTAAACTCTAAGCAGTTTCTGGGCACTTCCTGTCATGTTGTTACTCACTGTCGGCTCATTTTTCACTGCAATACAAAGTTCTGCACCTCTATGGAAACATCACAACTCTGGCTAGAAGTAGAGAGAACTTAAAACAGTATCTTCTGCTGTACAACATAGTTATAATGCCATAAATCATTAAAAAAAAAAGAAGAAGAAGAAATACATTTAAGTTTAAAATTTGTCTGTTTTACAACAAATGAAATAACCTGGAATCAACATGTGCAACATTTTTTCAAGTGCCTACAAATGTCATCACTACTGGAAAAGATACTGAATTCACACGCTGTAGTTGTTTTCATACTTGTCTTCTATCTGCTGAGTTCAGCCTTGTCTCGTGGTTCTTGGTCACAACTCCATCATAGCTTCATAGCTGCACCAAGGACCACTGAATTTTAGTTGTTTGTCTGGTAAGCGCAAACAGTTCTTTTTTGGTGAATTTATAAATGAGACGTGTAGAATAATGTGATTTTAATGAAATGGTATGTTGTTGAGCTTAGATTTGGTTAAGTTTTACAGTTGAATATCATGTCACAAGTGAGTAATGTGAGGACCTTTGAAAAGTTAAAAATCCCATCATTTCTTCTGTTTTTACAGTTTCTGGCTCTGAGAAATGGTAGAATGTTGGTTATTTTCTAAAGATCACCCTGAGATGAACCTTGAATCTTTAGAGAAAGTGAGATTCAAAGGGTTAAAAAGGAACTTTTTAAGAGATGATTGTCAGAACCAGTTAAAGTAAACATTTTTTAACTGCCTATTTGAAGACATTGATTTAATGGTTGAGACTTTATTTCACTGGGATGTACAATAGTGACAATTTTCACCTTATAATGTGCAATTATGAACTTATCATCATTTGTAGCAACAGCAAAAGATCAAGTCAAAGGGAGCAATCGGAAAAACAATGAGCAGACCAGGAACCTCGATATTGATCTAAAACACTGCGGACTTGTAGTGTTTTTATTTGAAGGACATGTTCTACCTTCACAGTCAGAGGAGTAGCTCTGAAGTACTTGTACAGCAGTAGATGCAATTTCTTATTATAGCTTAAGGTATACAACTGCTCCTATTACAATGTCCTGAAAGCTTTTCCTTAGCAGCACACAGCCTGTATAAATCCATATTTACAACATTTTATATGAAACATTAAATGAGTTGAAAGTACATCTTTATGTGGACCACATTTCATCTCCCAGTGCAGCGTGACTTTGAATGAATGTCTTCGCACTAATCATCTCTCTATCTCTCAGTCTACAACTGAATAAATTAGCCAAGTGATTGAACAAATGTGTGTTTTGTGGCACATTGATGTTGTAGTTTATACATGTGATTTTTTTCTGTGTACGTGGCTTGTTTATACATTCTACTGTTTGTTTAACATGACTTTAGCTACAACTGCATCACTATATAATCCCGTCTTGTACAATAACTGCAATAAACAATTAAACTGAGCCTTTCATGCCGAATCCTAAACATTGTTTAATTGATATAAAACCACTGTGTTTTTTAACAGGAAGTTACATGCTGGAACTATTTCATGCAAGTGCGGCTGCCTGAGAAACAGTGCAGGAAACAACCCACCATTAAACTATGAACTGCTGAACTTACACGTCAATCTTTGCACAAAGCTGAGATGTAACAACGCACGTTATTTTTAACCACTGGACAGAGCCGGGTTTGCCGTTTCTCTGCCTCGGCTTCATAATTAACAGACAGCTAGACAGAAGGGTGGTATCGATCTCCTCATTTAACTCTTGGCAAGAAAGAAAATTTCCCAAATATTGAACTGTTCCTTTTTTAAAAAGCTGCTGTTTGGCAGCCAACTCCAAGAATTTTGAATGTCAGCATGTCCTTCAATTGCATCAACATGGAGGGATGTTTTTCTGCTCAGAAATGTTTTACCTCACAATAATATTGTGACAAAAAATAAAGCCAAGGAAATGGTCCCTGTGATTTATCGCTCTTGAGTTTCAAGTATCTGTAAGCTGATTTTATTACCTGAAATTGTAGCATTTGTTGTTAGCAGCATTCTCCTTTGAACAGATCACATTTCACCACGAATGCGTCTCACGGCTGCGCTGCACTAGTGACAGTGGGTTGGATCTGCAATCTAATGCAGTGCACCTTATAAAACAACAAGTGAAGAGAATATGTCTGAGAAACAGACAGATGGGCAAAACAGAAAGGGATAAAGAGAACTTAAGAGAGGAAAACAAACAGTAGGAGCTGAGGTTGTGAGAGGAAGAGCAGAGCAGCAGTTCTACTTATCAAAATGGCTGTGTAATCTGTTCTGCCCAGTGTTTTTTTAGCCTAAATTTATTATTTCAGCCAATACACAGTATAAAGGAACATGCTCATCAGGTTTAAGAAAAAAAGTTATCAGGGGAATACAGTGCACTCCTCCACACATTATCTCCTCTTTGCCAACTGTCTGCCATTGAAGGATTCTTTCTCCCGCATCTGAGCTTGAGCATAAACAGGGTGAATTTGCGTTTAGATTAGCAGCAAGAAGGAGACTTTTAGTGCATTTGGAGGTGGAAAGGAGACGTGATGGAGTATGGCATTTGCGCTTCAAGTCAGCAAGACTGCTCAGCATTTTGGCACTCTGAGGAAGAAATGTTTTTTGGTCGTTCAGCTGTTGCTTTGAAAATGTTTTCCCACAAACTTCTGGAGAACTATTAACCCTTTGAACCTCAAAACCCACAGGAGGATATGAAAGGCATGTTGTCTTCACAAAACCAGCAAAATGGTACCAATGATCAGAGTCAGAAACTGTAAAAACAAAGAATTTTCATACTTTGAATTCTTTGATGCTCCTTGGGGCTGCAAGGTGGCACAGTTGGTTAGCACTGTTGCCTCGCAGCAAGAAGGTCGCCAGTTTGCGTCCTGGTGAGGACACCCGGGAGTTTGCATGTTCTCCCTATACAGCGTGGGTCCTCTCCGGGTTCTCAGGCTTCCTCCCTCAGTCTAAAAGAATGTTAAGGTTAATTGGTGATTCTAAATTGTCCGTAGGTGTGAATGTGAGTGTGCTTGGTTGTCTGTCTCTAAGTGTAGCCCTGTGACAGACTGATGACCTGTCCAGGGTGTCCCCTGCCTTCACCCTAAGTCAGCTGGGATGGACTCCAGCCCCCCCATAACCCTAGTGAGGATTAAGCGGTGTATAGATAATGGATGGATGGATGATGCTCCTTTCCTTGAATCATTCATCATGCTGTTAATTTGGGAACCTTAACCAAAACTAAGCTTAAAATTGTGATATTTCATTAAATTTACTTTGATCAAAATTATTATTCTACATGTGACATTTTGCAAAAAAAATAAAAATTTAAACTAGATTATGTAAAAAACTAAAAAAAAAAACTGTTTTTGTTAGTGCAACTATGAAGACACAGCTGCAGCCAGTAGTCATGTGATAAAAATTCATGCAGCTGAAATGCAGGCTGTGTTTGCAAAGAGAAGATAGGAAACAGGTATGGAAAAAAAATACAGAATACAGAAAGGCTTTTACTGCCAAGTGAGCTCACACACACAAGGAATTTGACATGATGAATGAAACTGTGATACTCAACAACAACAAGACAGGCAATAAATGTAGAAATGCAAATCTAAAAAATTCTAAATAAGATATTATATGTATAAAAGTACGATGTAAATAAAAAGTACTTTGACATACATTCGCCTAAACCAGAATAATAAAAGAAAAGTTACAATATTGCTCATGGATGAGAAGTATTGCACATGAAATTGAAAATTGCACATGTAATGATATTGCAAAAAAAAAAAAGAAATATATGTAGTAAAGTAATTATATTATGTAGAAGCAACATTTTTTTTCAGTACTGGTAACACCTGTGGGCACTTGAAAAAATCATGCTGATCGCTTTTCAATTTTTTAGAACAAGTTATCAAAGAAATACAACATCTGTTTTTCTTTTTTCTTTCTGTCATACTGCACAAAAGACATTTTTTAGTTCTGTCTACTTGTAGTCATGGTTGTTCTGTTTCCATAGAGGTGCAGGACTTTATATGAAAAATGAGCCCACACTAATTAGAGAAGAGTGCATCCTCTTTATTCTTTTACTTGTATGAGTTTATGTATTCACACATGTGCATGTATTCACCGTGGATGACACTGCGCTTCAACCATGCAAATCAAGCATTTGTGTTTGTATCCGATCCTTTAGTCGATGGCAGCTGGGGAGAGTGGAGTGAGTGGTCATTGTGTAGTTCCGAGTGCGAGAGGCAGCGCAGCAGAGAGTGTACAGCTCCGGAGCCCAAACATGGAGGGCGGCTGTGTGACGGCGTGGCGCTGGCGACAGACAACTGCACGGGCGGCCTCTGCACACAGAGTGGGTAACATCACATCCCCTCTTCACTGGGTAACAACGAGAAAAAGACAGTTTAGCATCATTACTGTCAGTCCCATTGTGTTCAGGGACTGTGTCATTATAGATTTACTGTTCATAATTTTTGGCGGTGTGGGCTAGATCATGATCGTCATTATAATCATGCTCATTACCAACAAGCTCATCAATCTTTGTTATTCATCCACCCCACTCCACATACATCATACACAGTGTGCACAGGCATGGATGCATACAGAAGTAGTAATCAAATCAAACAACACTTGTATCGCTCAAAAACGTCTCCAATTATGATTTGTGTCTCTGTTTGCAGATCGAAAGTTGCTCCATGATGTAAAGCCACAGGGTGAGTTTCTGCTTGGCTCTGTTTTTTATTTTGTTTGTTTTTCTGTTTTTTAAAAGGTAATACTGTCACTGTGACCTGAAAGAATGCATGATTCTGATTGGAGAAAGGGCTGTCCAAATTTGATTAACACAATGATGAAAAACCATCATGACTGGTGACAGGGTGCTCTTTGTATTCACATGGCATCTGTTTTGCAAAATAGACTTCAGGAACTTATTTTAATAGTTGCACTCGCTGCTATTTATTGAACTAGTACAGAAACATACTTTTCTGAATATTTGTACCTCATGACAGTTTTTGTGTTTTGCCCTTTGTTAAGGTGGGATTAAAGTGCAGACTTCCAGCTTCAATATTAGCAGTTTAACAAATATATTTCACTGACTGTAGAGGAATCCATCCATTCTCACAAGTTCAAAAGTCATGGAACAAGCTAAAGGTTATTATATTTCTTGGAACCAAATCCTTTTCAGTCAATGCCTACCTGAACTTGTGAACCTATGGACATCACCAAATGCAGAATTTCCTCCCTTGAGATGCTTTGCCAGGTTTTTACTGCTTCAGTTTGTGGGTCTTTCAACCCTCAGTTCTGCCCTCAGTCGGTGAAAGTGCTCAATTGGGTTTAGGTCAAGTGACTGGCTCAACCAGTTAAGAATATTCCACTATTTTGCCTAAAGAAGCTCTTGTGTTGCTTTTACTGTATATTTCGGGTCATTATTCATCTGAACTGTGAAGCGCTGTCCAATCAGTTTAGTATAACTTGACTGATTCTGAGCACAAAGTATAGATGTACGCGCTCTGGAATTCACCTTGCTGATTCTATCAGCCGTCACATCATCAATAAACGCTAGTAACCCAGTTCGATTGGCAGCCATACCTGCCCATGTCATAACACTGCCTCTACAGTGTTTGACAGATGATGCAGTTTGCTTTGGATCATGAGGCCTTCCTTTCCTTCTCCACACTCTTCCCTTCCCATCATTCTGCTGCAAGTTTATCTCAGTTTCACCTGTCCAAACATGTTTTGTTCCAAATCCAGGCGGGTTTTATTTAGATGTTTTCTAGCAAAGTAAAAACTCTCCATTCTGTTCTCAAGCATTACCAGTGGTTTGCATCTCGAGGTAAACTCTCTGCATTTACATTCATGAAGACGTCTCTTGATTGTAGACTCCAGCAACGACACGCCTACCTCCTCCAGAGTGTTCTACTTGTTGTGAAGGGCTTTTTCTTCACTCTTGGCGGAAAGCATTTGTCCGTCATCCACTTTAGGTGTTACTGAGTTCACCGGTGCATTTTTTCTTTTTTAAAAAGTGTATAAAATGTATCTCTAAAGTCTGTCTGATAGGTCTGTTTCGTGTTTTCAGGCTGATGACGGCCTCCTTCGCTCTTTGGACCGCATATTCAGAGTTCAAATGAACAACTAGCAAATGCAGATTCAGCATTTCAAGACCTCCAGATGTTTTATCTCCTTAATTTGTCATGACATAATGAGCAAACAGGCCACACCGGGCTTTAAAACTGCACATCAGTCAGCTTTCCAGTTACTTCTGAGCCTGTTGGAGTGGCAATGTAAAAAAAATAAATAAATAAAAGCTTTAAAATGATTGCAATATTTTTTTATGTTAAACTATTTAGTTGACACGTAAAGTCTACATTTGAATCAGATCTTGATTGGTTCATTGCGTATCTATTGTGGTGGTGTACTGGGGCAAAATTATAGAAACTGTGTCACTGTCCAAATAGTAATTCCTTGATTGACGAGGATAGTGAAAACACAACCACACTTCTATCTGCACCCTTATTCAATTCTGGTAGTGGTTCTGCTTTGCAAATAAGTGATTTTATCCTGAGGTAGCAAACTCCACTGAAATAGGAATAAAGTGTTAGCAGGAGGTAAATCACTCTGACGGTGTGGTTTAGAAAATGACAGTCTGCATCACTCACTGGGAACCGTCCCTTACTTAAAATAGAGGTGAGAGTTATTTCAGATACAGATGTTCTGACAGACAGGCAGCAAATAGCATGCATGAGTAATGATAATAATCATTATTCATAATATTAATATTATAATATATCTTTTATTTATCATGTCATTCCTAGAATTAATTTCAGTGCATAAGAAGTCTGATTAATTTCTGTTAAAAACATTCAATCTCCAGGTTATTTGTGTGCATCACTGAGTACATATTTCTCACTCGTGACTGCCAGTAAGACATAGAGCCTGAAGATTTTCTTGTACGGTAACATACTGTGTGCTGTTGTCCTTGGAGTGCTGCTAAGTGACTATGAAAATAATAAAAGTAAAACACTGTTAGGTGTAACGAAATACAACATGGGATACAACCGTGTTAATTGCATTTCTAGATGATAATCAGTTGTATCAAATGTTCCTGACTTTTATTACCGTTATTACCTCAGGTTTCCTTGCATTAATACCAATATATTTGAATGCAGCAGGTATAGTATTTCAAGTCAAGCTGCCTGTGGTTAACCACTGTGTATCCACTGCTTTATACATTACTGCTGTGTAGGGAAATGAGCCTTTTTAAACTGCGCAGTTTGCACAGAGAAAAATCAATTTGATACCTACCAAGCCACAAGCACATGTTCTCCTTACTTGTCCTTTAACACAGTTATGTGTTTTTGTTTGTCAGAAATGGGAAAAAGAATGCGGCCAGGCTGCCAAAAACTTCCCAAGCCCCCAATTAACCTGCTACTGTAGCTGTTAATACCGCTTTGCATATTTCGTCAATTTCTCCTCATTTGAGCTTCAGGCTACTTAGAGGATTTCTCAGCATGTCCTGTTTCAGCGAAGATCTCATTATCTTTCAAGAACAAGCTAGCAGCTCCTTTATTTCCCACTCATTCTTTCTCTTTGTGGAGTTGGACGCTGCAATACTGGTGGGACCAGATAGAGCATAATCGTCGCCGATGAGCTAATTTAATGAATTGGTTTTGTCACATTATCCCAGTGGAACGCAGAGTGCCTCCAACACCAGAGCCAAGCAGTGTTTGAAATGACAGTCAGGTGCTGGGTTGATTATAATCGCGTTCCTTCCGAGGTTCCTCATTAGTAGCTTTAACACTGCAGAAATGGAACGATGAAGCTGTGCATGAGGAGGCAGGGCAGACGAAGAAGAGAAAACAAAAAAGGCACTAAAGTAGCTTGTAACCAAGGTATACTTGCCTGTTATAAAAGACCTTCCACAACTTTATCTCAGCTGATATTCCTCAGCAACACAGATTTTCAGTTTATTTTGGGAGGAAATGTCTGCTGGCGTCCTAATTAAATGCAGTAGACTTGGAAAGCAAAGGCAAGAAGCAGACAAGCATGTTATTTTTCAAAAACATGTTTCTCCTTTTCACTCACTCAAACTTTCCAAGGTGTGGAGAGCAGCAGCGATGTGGCCTTGTATTCAGGCCTGGCTGCAGGGGTGGTGACGGTGGTGCTGCTGATCGTCGCTGTCACGCTGTACCGACGGAGCCAGAGCGAGTACGGCGTTGATGTCATCGACTCCTCGGCCCTCACTGGGGGCTTCCAGTCTTTCAGCTTCAAGACGTCTCGTCAAGGTGAGCCAGTGACTCCCACAGATCAGTGACGAATCAATTACACTCATTAAGTACTACATCCCACTGTGAATGAACTTTCCACAACTTACTGAATCCAAGCTGGAAGAAATATCTGGAATCGAGTTGTGTTTGATAGTTACATGAACATTTTTGTTTCCATAATGTATCGTGCTTCCTCTGAAAGTTTCATACTCATGTTGAGGAGGACATCATCAATACTTTACTTTATATATACGTGATATGCAGAATAGTTAATCAGCATACAGATGTGTGATTAATATGCTCAAGTGTTGGATTATTTAACGGATTTATTGAGATATGCGCGCAGTTTGATTTGTCATTCAGAAAGTGCAGATGAATCACACATCATTCATCCCTGCTGCTGGATAATAGGTACGACTTTAATTAATAATCTGCTAGCTCAGAAAATCCCATGTTATTCCAAACAGTATAGACTCTGCCTTCATCCATTTTAAATTTGCGTTTGGATGTGCATTTAAATCTGTAGCAGATAAAAAGAAAATCCATATTAGAAATCTAAGAGAAACTCAGAGGGCCTTTGAAGAGCCTCTACACCATGTAAAGATACTAAAAAAGCTCTTTACACTTGACTTTGCAATAAGAGGTTGTTATGGAGCACTCTAAAACAAATGTGCCAAAATTGCACAGTGCTGCTTAATTTTCATATATACACTGTCAGAGGCACCACGACGCCCACCACAAGCACAGCCACAAAAACATAGTGCTGCAATGAACACGGCAATTGCAATGAATATACCGTGAATATACAGCATTTAATTGTCTTTCCTGAAATAAACGTGTTTATTGGACATTTTGTGTGTGTTGCTTTATGGCTGGCCAGTGCAGTCACACTAATTTTGTTTGTTTGATGATTCAAAAGGCTCTTAAAAATCCAGAGAGAGTCAAATGAAGCCTGTAGCGTTATATTTTCACTTCCAAACATGTGGAGAACAGAGAAATGAAGACAGGAAGCCAGACATCGGTTTAAGTCACAAAGCACGAGCAATAATCTAAAGATGCTTAAAGAAGGGAGAGACACAAGACACACAATGTTATTCTGATTCCTGATTATATTGTAGTTGTAACACTGCAAATACACTCACATATTAATGTCATTGTATACGATACATACAGCTTTGTATTCATATGTATTTATGTATCTTTTAAATTATGCACACATTTTTCCTTGTATTATCGTATAACTACATCAATTATTAAAACGCTTCAGGAGCCAGAATGACAGTATTTAATTTTTCAGTTTGTTTACTTGAGCCTTCCAGAGATTCTTGCTGTTTGTGCAAATGTCCAATAACATACGGCTTAATCTATAAAGCATGTAATGCATTTGTTGCTTTATTGCAAACATCAGTATGCCCCAAGCAATAAACGGTCACTGAAAACTTATGATAACAAGCACATTGTGTGTTGAAGACACATATATAATTTCGCTCTTATGTATTATTACTTAGACCTTCTTCCTGGTACCATAAATTCAATAAAATGTTCAACAACAGGTATCTCATTTGGGTAATGTGTCAGTTCTTTGTATTCTCTTACACACAATAAAACTTGAATCAAATATTCATGATTCCAAAATTAAAAATGTAATTTATTAGTGTTTTCACTTTTTCTCGCCGAGCCCTCGAATGGAGCATTTGTGGTCCCGCGTCGCTACACACAGAAACACAAGAGCTCAAGAGTGTGGTGTGTTTTGCCCCACAGATTGAGGCATATTTTTACAAGGCTGGCATTATGGGTCGCTGCAGCAGCAACCCTCAGCAGGGCATAATAAAGTTCATTTTGATAACACAGCAGGAGCCAGGGAAAGCTTTAATCTTGGTCCCTGTTCTCTGTGTTAGAGGGTCTAAAACAACCAAACCTCCATAAAATCCGACATGTCCTCCCCACCTTGTGTGTTGCACCCTGCTATATGCGGCCACAGGAGTAGAACAGTAATCAATGTTTGTGTTTTTTTGCAGTCACATTCTCCATCATGAGTCACCCTAACAAACAGCTCACCTAATTCCTGACAAAATAAATTGGCAATTTACATTTTTTATCTCATCGAGAGAAACCACGCTGTTTACTTAACCGTGTCTTCAGTTGTCATTTTGTGGTTGCTAAGTGACTAATAAATATCACCTTACAATAAACAGATTAATAGATAATCGTATCTATATTATATTTATCTGCTCTGTGTTTCTCTATTTTGATCTCGACTTCTGACTCCAGTACAACATGGCTGCAGTATGTGACTGAGTCAGTCGCTTACGCTTGTTTCTTCGCCTGCTTGCTCTGACTCACATAATAAACTCAGTCATCAGTGTTATAATTCAGTTACAATATGTCCATGTATTTACCAATATTTTGAAACAACGATGACATCACATTGAATCGTAACTACTACATCCCTCCTGTTGTTTACTGTTTGTCACTTTAAACTGAGAAAATGATGCTATAAGCTGTGTGTTGTTCTTGATTCCACAGTGAATGTATAATAGCAATAATCAGAAATGGATATAGCTGGAATGTTTTGACACACGCTCAGGAGATTTTAAAGTCGGTGATAACGACACTCCAGTTGAAAGTGTCCCTCAAGTAATTGTCACTTAATGACGTCTAAGTGTTGACAGTAATTTGCTTTTTTGTTTGTGTGTTTTCCAGCAAACCCCCTGCTCATTAATTCATCCATGCAACCTGATCTGACAGTGTCACGTACCTACACCAGCCCCATGTGTTTTCAGGACTCCATTGACAAGGAGCTAATGGCTGAGCGCTCACTCCTTGACCCGCTGCCTGATCTTAAGGTCAAAGGTTAGAAAATAAAACTGTCTCATTTCTGTGGAGTTGGAGAGTGTAGCACAGCTCTGTGGTTGCAGCCAGAAGGAGCCATCTTGCCTTCAGTTTGTTTTTCTCCAAAGATACTCTCTAAGAAATCTTTCATACAAAGGAAAAAATAATTTGGGAAGGCATCCCAAATTACCCATTTACCAATCCATGTCCTCCTTTGTCAGCCTTTTATTCTGATTCTGAGTTACACTTCAAAATCAAGGTGCTTTTTGAAATCATTAGTCAGAAGTGTACAATCATTTGAAGAAAAAAAAAGGAGAATCATGTTGTTATTTGAGTCTTGCAAAATCCTGTTTGGCCATTTCTGAACCTCAAGTGTTTTTGTTTTGTTTGGTTTTGTTTTTTTGCCCCTGTTGCATTTTACTCACTGTGGACTTATTTTTTACTGCAATGTAAATTTCTGCATCTCTATTGAAACAGCATAATCATGGCTGAAAGGAGGAGAACTCTATACATCTTTTGTGCAGCATAACACAGTTATGTTTCCGTAAATCATAAAAAAAAAAAAGGGATAGCAAATGTTACATTTCATAGATCATTATTGATTTTTTTATTATTATAATTTTATTTATTTATTTTATTTTTACACAAAAATTGAACTGGTATATACAACAAGTGTCCACATGTGTTACCAGTACTAAAAAAAATAGTGACTCTAAACACTATGGATATTTAACTAAAGTATGTTTTATAGCTGCCTTCGCCCTAAGTCGGCTGGGATAGGCTCCAGCCCCCCCGCGACCCTAATGAGGATTAAGCGGTGTATAGATAATGGATGGGATGGATGTTTTATAGCTTCTTGTTCTATTTGTGTGATTTCTATTTTTTATCTTATTCTGTGTGCTAATTTTATTTCAATTTTAATTTATTTTTATTAGAAAACATTTTGTCACATTTGTTTTGAAAAGTGGTCTATAAATAAAGTTTATTGTTATTATTAGAATTATTATTATTATTGTTATTACAATTTTAATTTATTTCTAAACTTGTCTCCTGTACACAGCCTGCAGTTCAGCCCAAGTCAGCTAAAAAAAAGTCCCAGATTTTTTTGCCACATGGCTCTTGTTCACAGCTGATACTCGTGCCTTCTCAGTTGTGCTGAGTAGTTCAGTTCTGTGGTCTTTTTCCACACTCTGGTTCCTGGCAACAGTTTTTGGACAATTTCTGAATGAGACATGCAGAATAGAAGGATACTGATGAAAGACCATGATTTTAGACTTAGGTTTGGTGAATTTTCCAGACACACCACATGTGATACGTTCACTAAAAGTCAGAAAGTTTAAACAGTATCTTTACTTTTGACATCATAAGAGAAAAGACTTTGAGGATGAGGACATCCAATGCACATAACATATCACACCTCAGACTTTTTTGAGTAATCTGTAAGCCCACATACTTGGCCTTGGCAGTGACAGCTTACAATATAGCTGATAAACACTCAGTTTAATCTATCCCTTACAGCTGCTCTTGTGTATCGGATTGGACAGTCTAAATAAAGACACCACTTCTTTAAACGCAGAGTGTCACTCTTACTACGGCCCCAGGTACACTGTTTCTACTGGAGGCAAAAAGCTTGACAGTGACAGGCTCGCTGAGCCTGGTTTCAGCTCTTTGCTAAGCTATGATGGGACAATCAGTATCTGGTGTCAGGGTTTAGAGAGCAGTCAGTTGAGCAGTCACCATATTGTGTAGTTTTACAGTAAGCTGTAAAAGAACTATTTCCCTGCTGTCACAAAAACTGCATTAAAATGATGCTTATGTTGATGATGTGAGTTTGTGTGTCACCCACCAAGTCACAGCACTTTCACTGTATCCTCAGGGGCAGCAGAAAGGGCCGAGTACCACGTCATGTCCCACCCTCAGACATTTCCAAGGGGCCTGGCTCCAGACTACAGAGCGGTTGCAGTGGGAACAACACTGGGCAGAAGAGGCAAAAACCTTTTTGCTCCACAAGTCTCTCTGACTTCTAGTTGGCCTCTACACAAAGCAACTGCAGTGTTCGGCCATGCTGGAGGCCGGCTGGTGGTACCTAACACAGGTGAGGCAGTTTGATTTGATAGGTTCTGGCTCCACACCAATCAGCCACAACATGAAAACCACATAACTTTTTGTATCTCCCCCTCACACTGCCAAAACACCTCTGATCCATTTGGCCATAGACACAGGACGTCTGTGGGTGTCCTTGGTGTCTGCCAGTGTGTTGTCGGCAGCTTCTTTTTTTGGTGTTTTGTGGTGGGTTGTTGGTCCTTGTTGTTGTGGCTTCTTTGGATGCTTGATCGGATTGAGATCTGGGAAAAACTGGAAGACAGGCCAATGCCTTGAGCTCTTGGTTGTTTTCCTCGAGTCCTTCCTGGGTGTTTTTTTTCCAGCATGGCAGGCTGCCTTATCCTCCTGGAGGAGGCCGCTGGCGTTGGGGAGTGCTGTTACCTTCAGGAAGTGAAAACAAAAGCAACAGTGCATTGACTCTGGATGACCAGTGTTATACACTTCACTTGTCAGTGGTTGAATGTTCTGGCTGGTTGGTGTATGTATAAACATAAATTCCTTTCACAAAGATGCTAAAATCTGTAACTTACTAGACTTTTAAACTACAGCAGAACTGATACAGAGCATCTCAGATAGCATTTTGGAGTTGTTTGACCTTGTCAGAGTCGATCTGCTGCAAAAATGTGAAAATGTCATCAATCGAACAGGTAACATGATCTCGAATATATTATTTCCTGAAGTGATGAAGTGAGACAGCATTGGCATTTTTAACCGGCTGGTGCTTTCCGACAAACTCAACAAAGTGTAGAAAGTGTTTCTAGCCTTGGTGAATGCTTCATTCAAAGTGTTTCATCAGATGAATTAATTTTAAAAAGTGTTTCAAAATTTTAAAGCGCATAATGTACACTATGAAGATGAGTAAACAGGTATTTGTAGTGTAAACCTGTGCTGCTCGGTCTACTACATTATTCAGGCAGCTATTTCTCTTGGCCTACATTCATCATCCTGTCCCTTGAGGGGCTTTATCTCCCGCTACATTGGCAGTAATTGTTTATGATACAGTAGAATGTGGTGTAAGTTTGTGTGTGTTTGTGCCGAGGAAGCAGACAGTCTGTGTTAGTGTGCGCTTGTGAGAAACAGACTGCTGGCAGCATTGATTCACAAGGCCCTTGGAGACTTGCTTCCGTCACCTTTTTCTGGGGCCATCACCTCTCTGACTGTCACCTCCAGTAAAGACAGCCGACAGCCGAGCAGGTGTGTGTCATGTGTGTGCATGTCTGGCTGTGTGTTGATCAGTTTTTGCATGCCTCCTTCTCTGCAGGTATCAGTCTGTTGGTGCCTCATGGGGGGATTGCAGAAGACACTACCTGGGAAATGTACATGAGCATCAACCAGGAGGACAGCAGGTGAGCAACTCTCACTGAGGTGGTGTCTGCTTCTTAGAATGCTCTCTTTTAATCTTTCAGCACGTCACACCGTATTTTTCATCCCTCTCCCAACCACGTCATCGTCGTCTCTTCTTCCTGCTGAACAAACATGCAAAGATAAACACAGACCCTCTCTTTTGGAGACTCGGCAGCAGCATGTACTGTACACGCACACACATACTGATGCGCATATTCCCACCCAGCATGCAGTCTTTGCTCATCTTGCAGACGCTACAGGGGAGGACATGATGTGTCACAAATACATTGGCAGCTCTAGACAGATTGCATTACCGCCTTAAGCAACTGTCTCTGCAGAAGAAGACACACTCCAAGACTCTAGTAGCCTGTTTTGTGTGTGTAGACATAACTGTGACAATATCCTTTTCCATCGTGACCGGTTAGAGTGGTGCGATATTTGTAATGTCATAATGATGGGTGGTACAGATTTGGTTTTTCGTTAGATGAACAGAGGTAGGGCACGATACGCTTCAGAACTTACAGTCTATTGCTGTAACTTTGTCGTCGAGGTTTTCACAAAGCTATTACTCAAGGAGTAAAAGGCATTATAGATAAGAACTGCTAGCTACCTTCGACTCCGATGCAGCACAGCCTCCAAAGCTATCCAACAACCACAAGTCAGGTTTTGAGCATGTTCTTGATTTACAGCAGACAGTATCAACGTGTCAGTATTCCTGTGTGAAACTCTGCTAGCGAGATATCATCCTAACAACACGGCTAACCGCCAGAGCTTTACAGCGAAATTTGATTTCCACATCCAAGGGAAAATCAAACGTGACATTTAGTGTCCTCTGAAATTCCCCTCACCTCACTTCTGCCCACACATTAAGTGCCTGGGGTCATGTGGGAAAGGAAGCATATCAAAGGTCACATATAGGCTGTGGCTCAGAGCGCACTTAGTGGGCTGGTTGCACACTTCCCTGCCTTAAGTCTCCCCAATTCAGCCGAGCAGTTGCCCTCCAAGCTCCTGCTTTGCTCTGATAAGCCTGATGCTGTTTACTTCTCTGGCGGTCGTTTAAGAAGCTGCAGGAGCCGCGCACCACTGAGCTGTCAGTCAAAGCCTATCTTCTGACAGCCGCAGAGTCCAGGGGAGAAATTGGATCCTTTCTTCCCATTCAAACCTCGGCCATCTACATAAAACGATGCCTTCCTCTGCGAAGAATAGGAATCGATCAGCTCTGGCTCAGTTTCAGGTGTTCACAAGAGCTCTCGGCCATCCTCTGGGCTTCACGGAGTTGTTTTGTGTGTGATCTTCTCCCGCTCAGCAGGGGACAGTGGGTTGTCCAAGGACAAAATCATGGTGTGTGACAAAATACACCTAATATGATGTGACTCACAAAAGTTTGAGTGAATGAGCTGAGCAGTATCATTCTCATTTTTGGAGCATACTCTGCAGACTTCCTCTACTACTTCTGTGTTGTGTCAGTCATACCTGCCACAGCCAGCGTTTCCGTTTAGAAGTTTGACGCGTGGCTGTTTTATGTGGAATTGCCAACTTCATTTTGTGGCAATACTTTGTTACATCACTTGAACCCAAAATCCTCCTTAAATTTAGGTTCAGTTGTCACTTAATTAGGTTTGGGGTGTTTTTAAAAACAGAAAAAATGTTGAGTAAGTACTTGCCTATTTACACATCCAGCAGACACCGAGTGTTTTTGGCCACGTAATGAATATATTGTAAACATTCACTGACACTGTGAGCTCAAAGCCACCTTCTCCTTTGGGAAGTATCTCTGGAAATGTTTCTTGAGCAGCTAAATGCTCCAATTTGTTCACCAGTTTGCTGCTAATTTTGTCTGTCTGGGATTTTAAAGCTTGTCACTGAAAACTTCTACCTACTGCTTCTGAGAATGGTGAACCAAAGCAGTAACAGCTGATTAAAAGATGCTAAAATGCTCAGTACAGCTGAGGGCAGCTGCAGAGCGGGTGATAAATAGGGCTGCACTCTTAATCAATTTCAACTTAAAATGGCAATTTGAAACAAAGCAATGAGAAAATCACAAGGGCCGTAATTTAGAATATAAATGTTGGGACTAATTTGATTGAAACTTGTGGGGGTTGAGACGTGCACGCTGTGGTTCAGCCGACATAAAGTTTCGATATCTAATTGCCGCATCTGATGCATTTTGCAGCACTTTTAAATTGTTGTGTCAGTGGTTTTACAAAATCATACATCCTGCTCGTGCACCAGTCATCCCTTTGATCTCATGTGGTAGCGCTTCATCATATGGTTCACAAATTCTATTATATTTTCCACAAATCGTTGAGCCCTGGAGATAAATCTCTGTGGGTACACCACTACAGCCAACATCTTTTACATCACACAGCGCCATCAGACCCATTATTCATGTATAAACAGTGACTTCAGCTTTAACTCCTTCCACTCTAGAGGTCCCTACGCGGGGGCTGGCCATATCTGTTACATAAAGGCAGCCAGTGCTATTTTTCAAAAGGTTGCCATGCGCGGCACATTCACCGAAGAGGCCACCCGATCCTACGATGACTAAAATTGATGTAACGTTTGTTGTGCTTTATTTCTGTTGCATTACTTCGGAACAGGTTCAAACAGCATCAGTGTCATTAAACCATTGGTTATTATGAGGCAGCTGTTTACTCTCTAGTTTACAGTTTGTTTGATTTTTAGTTTTTAAATCTCACTCAGACCTGGAAATGAGGACAATAAGTGCGATTATATTACAAAGTTCTCTCAAGCGTCTCTTATTCATGCAGCCCAAGGTTGTTCATTTTGTCCTCACAGTTGTGTAGCTGTTACCGACTGAATTTGGGGATGTTTTTTCACTTGTACGTTTCAAAAAATACCCGAGACCTTGAGGGTTCGAATAGGTCAAGATGAAATGCATATTTTTAAATCACATTATTTACACTTGCACTCTACTGAAGCAAATGCATTAAAGGGTGTTTACAGGTGTTACAGCAGGGAGTAACCGCATATATGAAACAACTGTAGAAAGTATTTTTGTGGCTCAAGAGGCAGCTGCACAAACTGTGTTGGATTTTTACTGACTGCTTGGGTTGCATAAATTGCTGCATGGCTATACATCTCCAAACTATACGTAGGAGCTGAGTATTAGCATTTGAGAAGTTTGGAATAAAAGAATAGGCTGTCAAAAGCTTTCATCTGGACTGTATTTTGATAGAAAGTGTTGTCTGTGATTTTACATCATGTTCTGTGGATTATATAACAGAGACAGAAAAGACATCTTCATATAAAGTTTCATTGCTTAGAGTACCACCAACAAAATTTGTATAGTTACTTGTTTGTAATCTGGATGAAGTGTCCCTTTTAACTCAGATTCATCAGCCCCGTTTTAAACTCTTGTGAGAGCTTCAAAAAAAAGACCGTCAAACACTAACAATTCTCCAAATATAGTTTAAGTGCAGTCTGAGCAAAATAAAATTAAAAATTAAAAATGACACGAGATGTGTTTCAGTAAAAACATTAAAAGAGGCATGACATGTGTAGTGTCCATATGAGACAAGGATTAACTAATAACTGCAATCTATCTACACTGGAGTGATATTTCTTTGTTCTCATAAACACAATCAGAGTTGCTAAATAACCATGTTTAATCTTTGCTCACAGGCAATCTGGCTAATTACCATAGTCTCAGCAGCAGGTAACCTTGGTTTCCTCTGAGCCTGGGGCTGATTAGCACAAAAGTGCAGCTGCAGGGCCAAGGTGTTGCCTGGATGTGTGATTTTATTTTTAGACAGTGGATCATAACCTCTTTTAATTTTTTAGTGTGATTGGTAACAGCATCATAAAAAAAATAAAGTTCCACACAGCACTCTGCACCAGAAACCGTTAAGATGAGGAGCTGAACTGGCTCGACCACGTATCGTGCCACGTGAGAACACTGTCCTCTCAGCATGCAGACACACACAAGCTCTTATATCACTCCTCACCTTCCCACCTCCACCTTATTCATAAAACAATCGTCATGCATCTTACAGGTAACTGCTGCAGGGCTGGAAAAGCACTAAAAAAGATTCTGCTCCAGTAGAGATGCTGCTTCTGTCCTTAAATCTTTCGAAAATAAGCTCACTTCTTGTTGATAAAGAAAAGTACCCACATTTGCTTCCCACTCTCAGATGTGCTGAATCGTCTTTACATTTATGTGGACTTGCCACTTAATTGTGAAAATAATTGCTAACTGCGGCCCCTATAGTTTACTGTTTTGGCAGTTCGTTAAACACTCTTAACCACAAGCAGTTTCTGGGCATTTTGTTGTTCCTGTCACATTTTCACTCACTGTGGACTCATTTTTCGCTTCAAGTCCCATACCGCTATGGAAACAGTACACAGACACATGTCTAAAGAGAGAATTTAAAAATGTCTTTTTTGCTCTATAACAAAGTCATGGTGCCATAAATCATTACAAATGAATACATTATTTAGTTTACAAAAATTGGAAAACCTGAACTCAACATGAATATCAACATTTTTCCAAATGCCCAAAAGTGTCACAGATTTTTTACTGCTTAAATTATTTGTTTTAATACTTTTTTTCTCTGCTCAGTGTAAACACAGCCTGCAGTTCAGCCAAGTAGTCCCCAAATCTTTGTCATAAAACTTTGCCCCAGAAGCTGCTCAGCTGCACAGAGAAGTAAAGGATTTCATGTTTCCCACAGAATCTATATATTATAAACAGTTAAATGTTGGTGAATTTTTAAATGAGACATGTAAAATACAAATATTGTGATTAAATATTTGTTTAGATTTGGTTACATTTTCCAACTGAGAGGCTAAATAGTTCAAGGACTGTTGATTCTTTTGGTTTTTACAATTTCTAATTCTGATAAATGATGTAATTTTGCCATTTTTTAAAACACAGAATGCCTCTTTAACCCAACAGCAAGTTTAAATTGGAAGACCATTAAGGAATTACTGGGGGGGTTTTCACATTTTGTAATGAATAATGCGATACAGGTGTTGATTGAGGGCAGTGGGCTGCTGTGTGTGAATGCCACTGCCAGTTAGTTTTCTCACCAAGGAAAGTATATTGTTTTGTTTTTGTTTTTTGTTTTTTTTTTTAATAAAAATGTAATCCATGTTTTGATTTTTTCTGACCTGATCTTGGACTTCATCACCAACGTCTCTGTGGGACAATACTGTCAATTAACAGCATACTCACATTAAATGCATTTTGTGTTTGAAAGTCTGATTTCTGATCAGTTTTCATCCTTCCCTGACGTGGTCATTTTAAGATTTTCATTCATCTAGGCTGTTGTTTTGTCTGCTTTTTCTTTTTCTTATTTGCTTTAAAAGTCTGCCTGTCCAGAGGCTGCAGATGATTCAAACACAAATAAATAAAAATAAAAATAAATCACTCAAACTGCATCCCAAAAAGCCTGCTCAGAATTAGTATGCAGTCTGGAATTGGGAGACAGCGATTGATTTAGTTATATATGCATCAGGTGGTCCAGCTTGTTCGTCTGTCAACATGAGAAATGTAACCTATAAAAATTATACTTTCAGTGCCTAACTCGTGCTCACTCTCTTCCTCCATTCGTGCGTAAGTGTAGGTCCACGCACGCTTTACATATTTGTGATGCATCTTTTCCTGCGTGTCCGGCTCTGTACCCGCTGCAGTTGTATTAATGATGCTGAGAAATATCCATGCTACTCCAGTGACAACAGCACCAATATCGTGTCCTGTGTATGTGAGGTGTCCAGCCGGGCCTGCTGCATGACTGATGGTGGTCCCATCGATTGCTCTCAGTCTTCAGGGCTTCCAGCCAAGATTGGGCCCCTGGCCAAGAGCAGCTTGGCCCAGCTAATCTGTCACCAGGCTGGCCGGAGCAGGCTTCATAAGCTCCATCGACCCACAAAGCTTACACGCTCTGTGCTAAAGCCTGTCCTCCCCAGCCTCACTGTCCATTAGTCTTGGTGCTTTAATCTTCCTCTATCTGTGTGTCTGTGTGTCAGCTAGTCAGGGATTGATTCCTTATGAGTGTCCGAGGATTTAAGTTTACTTTGTTCACAGTCGAGGGTCACACCCTAAATGCTTGCTTAAGCAGTGATTCATTAGTAGTGAGATTCTTGTTTTCATTTTGTTATAAACAAACTATAACATAATGGAAGTAAAAATTGATTAAATTGTATGACACATGTTGATTAACGGTGTGCCCCATTACCTCTGTGTGTGCAGTGCTGTGTCCGAGGATGGGCCGGAGATCTTCTTGAGCGCCGCCGTTATGTACGGCCCACCCGGCCTTGACCTGTCCTGTCCCATCGCCATGACCATAGCACATTGTGCGGAAGTTCCTGCTGACAATTGGACCATCCGGCTAAAAAGACAAATTCAAGACAACAAGTGGGAGGTGAGCAATTTAGTATTCCACTTCACCTGCGGTTAACAGGTTCAAACATTCTGTTTTAGCATCAGTGCAGAGTTGTAGCAAGTACAAACACACAACTCTCACCAGTGACCAGAATATCAATACAATCTGATAAACTGCTACGACCTACTTTGATGAAAATTTTCATCCTGCAGTGTAGTCATGCAAGCACGGAGCCGATTTCAGGGTTGCCAGCTCAGATTTGTCATTCTGCATAAAATTTAGCCTTTCAAGCTCTACCTCATGCTGACTTACATCCAGAGAAATGTCAGACCAAATGCAAATGACGGCTTTTAGTATTCATTGACAACATGTTTTTTTTCCAGTTTAATGATGGTATTTTTAAAGCGTTACTCTTTTACGAATCTGTCTGCACGGTCTACATTGAGAGTCTTTACAAAATTAAAAAAACAACAAGTGCATTTACATTACAGGGACAAAGAAACAAACATATCTTTACACATTGCACCTATGATTTATGTCTTTTTTGTTTTTTGGATAGCTGCAATACAATATAATGTGTCATTTTAATTTTTCTTGAAAACAGTTTCTATTCTGTGACCACTGAAATCCCAGTGAGATAAAAACATAACAATTCTTTATTTGCATGTATGTAAATATAAGAATATACTATCCACTGAATAGATTCAACTACTTTAACATTATGTATCTATATTTGTAAACTGTGAAATCTTCTGGTAAAAAATCACAATTTTCTTAAAACGTTGTGTGATCCAGCCAGACATAAAACACGGAAATGTGGTATGGTGACTAACCAAACCAAAGTAGATCATCTATAGTGCAACAAGTTAAAAAAAAAGAAAGAAAGTTTTAGTTTAAGTTCTTATAAGCGCACTGATTTAAATGTAAAACACTGCCACAAGGTTAAAGTACCCACTCCAGTCTAGTAGTCTCACTCTGAGGTCAAAAGGAGATAAAAACTGGTCTGCTTTTTAAAAGATTCAAGACTTCACTGCTCTAAATGCATTATGGTGCTATTTCTGTGATTGCCGCTGTGAAATTTTTTTCTCACATCTACTACTTCCCATAAAATAACACCTCTGAAAAGTCCTTCAACTCTGCCCTGTAGAGCTACTTCACAGCCTCACCGAGGAACACTCAGACATCTGCCTTCAATCCAAACACCCTCTATTCATTTTCTCGTGCTTTCTCGGCAGAGTAGACACATCCAAGATGCTCTTTTAATGTTTAACTAACCTCATCAAAAAGCTTTGGGGACCTCATCGAGGCAGAGCAACCACGGAGCCACAGAGTTTGCCTGACCTTGGGGGTCTGTGACTCTCCACCAGCCTGGTCCTTTCACTCCGTGTGACATTTACACAGATGTAATTTGCCAGCAGACGTGTTGCACAAAAGGGAACTATCAAAAGAGCCATCAGCGATGGGCGCTATATGTCAACGGAGAGGAGAGAATAGGAGAGAAAGACAGACAGAAAGACGTAGCCAGGTTCGGGGGGAAAAGAAGAGATATTCTCCAAATGTTACGCTATGACCCGTCTCTGTCACTGAGAAATAATGACTCCTTTATCTCAGGAAGGATACTTACTCAAAACCTAATCTCTAGAATTAGTGATATAATGGGAGATGGAGGTCTCTCTCCCACTCTGTCTTCCTCTCTTTCCTTCTCCCTCCCCTCCTCTCTTGCGGTCTGTCTGCCTCTCAGTGCCATTCCCATTAAAGCCTCCACTTTTGTACACTGGAGTTTGACTCTATCATTTCTCCCCGACTGCCTGACGGGGATGGGCTATGTCATGGAGATCCTTCATGTCTGCTGCAGCGCTAATGGGGCAGGTTTAGGAAGCTGTGGGCCACTAAATTACCCTGCATTGCTTTATATGCCTCAGCTAGGCCATATGCAGAGGGGACCTGTGGGTCACAGTTATGTTTCAAAGGTGATTTAGGGAGAATTGAGCACGAGATGAAGAGCAATTGGCCATCGGACACAACTGCACCCTGCTAATCCGTTTTGTCAGTGTTACTGAATCCCCATCTGTTTAGCGAGATGTGTCATTATTCATTTGGCCCTCATTCAGCTTTGCACAGTTCCTCATCCTATCTGAGAAGGAAACTTTTGTAGGTTACTGTCTGTGAAGCGTCTTAATAATATCCCTAACAACAGTACCAACTTTAAATTGCTGTATCCATGGCTCTAATGATTTGTTGGTTAACTGCATGGCCATTTGTATTCTTCCATTTGACTATTTGTCTACAGAAAATAATAGTGTAATAGATCTTGCCCAAACAGTCAATTTGTAAAGAGTTGCCTTACTCAGGCCATTACAGGCTGAATGGTGTTCTTAGTTTGATCATTAAGTTAAAGCCGCTTTCTCTCTCTGCAAACAGATTCTTGGTGGTGGCTGTAATGTCGAGAATCATGCAGCTATAATAATAATCATAAAAATCCTCAGCAAGACAGCATCCTGATATTAAAACGTTCTCATGATTAACTTGCAAACTCTAGAATGAGCGACTTTTATCTCAGAATATGTGATCACGGCACCAGAACTATACATAACAACAACATTAAAGCAGCATGTGATATTTAGTTTAATTCTATTCCGTTATTTTACTAAAGGGGAATAAGTATCTGTTGTTCCAACATGCAGCTTCTCTGCAGTGGAGTAGATGTCATGAAACAGCCAAATACGCACTGTGTTGGAAATAGACAGATCTCGTGGGACCATAGACCAGAAATCACAAGTCAATAACTACAAACGTCTGTGACTCGTAGAGTTAATGAGATTCTGGATGCTGGTTTGTGGAATGTCCTCCCTCTCCTGAAGTCCTGTAGTGCTCGTTGAAGTTTACACTATTATCCAGAACATCATGTGTCTGTTTTTCTGCGGTACCATGCAGTCAGAAACTATTCCATACAGAACAAACGGTGGCTCTCAAGTTTCGTGGTAGATCATGACTACTCGTGTTTTAGCCTCTCTACTTTGGTTCCTAGCATGTTTTAGGATGGATTTTAAGGTTTTACTGATTGCCTTTAAGGCCCTCATGGCCTCTCTTCTGGCTGTATTTCTGACCTTTAGTACCCTACGCACCAGTGCGTACGTTGAGATCTTCGGCTCGAGGTCTTTTTTCTGAAAACGAAAGGGGCAAGAGTATTTGTAGTCGAGGCCCCCAAGCTCTGGAATAATCTGCCCAAGGAAATCAGGTTGACTGAGTCAGTGACCTCTTTTAAGTCTCTTCCTCAAACATAGTTTTATTGGAGAGCCTTTCAGGATATTATTAGAGTTTTAATCTCCTTTGAAATGTCTTCTATTTCTTTCAATAATATTTTTACCTTTTTCAACATTGCGTTGGTTTTCATGTTGTGTTTAGAGATTAAAAAGCACTTTGCACCTTGAATTTTGAGAAGTGTCTATCAACAAAGACTGTTCCTATTATTATTGTTGTCACACAGAAACATGAAAAACGTGAACAACGCCACTAAAAAACCATCAGATGTTCTGCTGTGATCATTGTCTTAGTTAATTCTAATTTCTTTTAGCACTTGTTCACTCGTCCAACATGAGTAAGCCCCATAGAAGTCTTTATCATGGTGCGTCTTTACTCGCTAAACTCCCACAATGCTCTCTACTTGCTAACACGGTTGTACTTGTCTCTCTAACAGTAAGAGGCTTGACAACCAGTTACTATAGCTAGGACAGATTATCTAGTTGTCGCCTATCAGGAGATACTGAAGTATTTAGGTCAAATTATTTTTTACTTATTGTCTTTTTCCTACTATTATTATTATCATTATTATCATTATTCGTGCCTGGCTACACCTCTAACTGACATGCCGGCATCCAACGGCCTTTTCTCATCTTTCTCTTGTCATCTGTAGCATTTTGTCATTTGAATAAAGCTGCATTTTAGGTAAACCTTTCATAGTCACTGTTCACATGTGATTTTGTCCTTTAAAGCCAAATCTAACTAGGCTATAGATTAACTCAGTGATCAAGAATTTACCCCCAGTTGTACAGCTCAAAACCTTTTTGTGCGTCGTTGACTAAATTTAACCCTTTTGTAACCACTGCAATAGAAATGAATTTTTAACTTTCTCTCTATGTCAGACAAGAAGACAATTTGCGTGCTGCATTCATATTTTTGTTCAGTCTAAATCCAGTCTCTCCTGATGTGTCTCTGCCTCCAAAGGAAGTGATGTCTGTGGACGAGGAGAGCACATCGTGTTACTGTCTGCTGGAGGCCCAGAGGTGCCACGTGCTGTTGGAGCATCCGGGCCGCTACGCCCTGGTGGGGGAGCCGCTGAACCAGGAGGCAGCCAAGCGGCTGAGGCTGGCTGTGTTTGGTAGTCCGGATACCAGCAACTCTCTGGGCTTCACCCTCAGGGTTTACTGTGTGGACGACACACCCCATGCATTTCAGGTATGAGGACAGAAGAAAGATACAGAGAAGAATGATTTCCAGGAATTATTTATCATCTAATGAGAACATTTCTCATGTTTACTTTGATCAGTATTTTAAAAATATTGTTTGTCCTTGTATATATGATGGTCAAGGGCTTTTGAGTTAATCTCTGTCAACAAATCTTGAAATTGAAATGACATTTTTTAATCACGATGATCACTGACCAAATCAGTAGCTTTTGCAATGGATCTCCACTTCGTTCCTGACGGCACTTATATCAGCTCAGCTGTGACACACAGTATGTTACTTCCTTGTTAAAAGCCTATTTAAAGCCAGATACAATCATAACCTGATCACTCTGACATAAATAATAGGCTGCTTCAGTTATCAACCTGATGTGCAGTGCGGGTATAGACTGTTTTTTTGACTGAACTCAGTGTGACAGCTTAAACTAGCAGACTGAAAGTGGTGCTTAACAAGCAGTCTAAACCAGATGAACGAATGAACGGTGATGCATTCGCTTAATGCCGCACCCACTGAAGTGCTTTTGAACTGTGATTCATTCGCCTACTGTTGTATAAACTGAAGTGCCTTTGAACAGTGACGTACTCACTTACTGACGTACTTATTGAAGTGCATTTGAACAGTGATGAGCCCGCTTAGCTTTGGAGAAATAAAACTACATATTCAGTGGCAAAGAATGGTAGACCCGAGCAGAACAAAGTGATTTGAATCAACAAAATGACTCATAATTTCCACCTCTATATAATGTCATGAAAGGGACTGTTGTACACAACAGAAGAAAAGCAGGAAAAACTGTTATGTGCAAAAGAGGCAGAAAAACAAATCCTACTTTTCTTGCCCTCTCCATAAAGCCACACTTCCCACACTGTTCCACATGAAGTAAAATAATTAACTCTGTCACTACATGATGTGAGTCGTGCAAGCGTAAATGGTTTACGGCACGAAAGGTCTGCCATCTGTACTGGATTATATGAAAGCAAGGACCACCTTCTCACAGTCTGGGGACAAACATTGCAAGTGCACCAAGTTTACTGCTGATCTCAGCACAGGAGAGCCCGAAGGACACTGGGTGACCCAAAAATAATAACCTCTGCCTTTATTTATAATGTAATAGAGTGAGGAGTCAAAATTAGCAGCATTTCTCCTTAATCACAAAAACACTCATAGATTAAAAAAACAAACAAGGTAGATATATACTGTATATACAACAAAAATATTATATTAAATAGTCTGATCTGTCAGTAGCCTTCAAGTTTCATTTACAGTTCGGTCTGTTGGATAGATGTAGCCGTTGTGACCAGTCAGTCCTCTGTTAGAGGCACGCACAAGCGACTTGGTTTTCCTTCTCGCCTTTGTAAAATATAAAATAAAATAGTTAACTAATGTATGAACCACAGCACTCAGAAATATGAAGGTGTACTTTTTCCTCACCAGAGGTTGGATTCGTAAAAAGCTCTCGCTCTCTCAGTAATGAAGTGTACTACTGTCATTACTGAAACAAACAGCCTCTCTCTCTGTCCTCGCCTCCAAGCTGCTGAAAAATGCACAGCCACAGCTTCTTTTCATCTGTTTTCTTATTCTCATTATTCCTATTCTTACTAATAAGAATAATGACAAATGAAAGCTAAATCACAAGGTCTCTGAAGGTATGTAACATGAAAAGAGTGAGCACCAAGAAAATCCGTAGTACAGTTCATACACGTTTATTCTGGCAAAAAGGAGCTGTCGACAGTGCAGGCCAGTATAAACCCTTAACATCAGGTGGTGACAAAGACTAGGAGACCACTGCCCATCTGTGAGGCTGCGCTTGACTGTGCTTTAGCTAAATGCTTATAAGCTGATGTTTAGCAGTTAATATTTCATGTATTCATCATTATGTTTGAGAGCATTAGCATTTAGGTACAGCTGAAGCTAAGGGGAATTTTCTATATTTATGTTTTCAGGGAAAATGCCAAGGTGTTGGGGATATTCAAATTTTGACCTGATGAATTAGGGCTTGGAGTTACAGCTAAAAAATGTATTACAATTAAATATTTTAATTTCATTTGATATCAGTGACAATGGAAAAGGTTTATTTTGAATTTACCTACAGTACACTTAACTTTGAATGAACCAGTTTATTTTTCAAGGCAGACAGGTGACACTTTAAGTATGAACACAACAAAGAGAAATACATTGGCACATATCAAGGTAAATGAAGTAAAGGAATGATCTCATACACATTGAATAAAGAAAGCAAGTAAAGTTGACTTTGAGGTTAGTCTGACTCATTGGACGTAGACTGCCGGTATAAACCTACCATTGGCTGCACAGTTAAAGCTCCTCTCTCCTCCTCTGCTATAGCTACATGGTACTGTTTTTAAAATCCCCTTCACTATTGGAAATCATATCAAAAACCTCCACGCAGCAACCAAACACACTCAAAATTTCTCACTTTAAAGAAACTGTTAGGTTTAGGTTACAGAAAGTGTGCAAAGCAATTTATAAACATTGGGTACCCAGAAGTGTGTCCTCAACCTGGCAGAAAGTCCATCAGCCCCTTGGAGCAGGCGGCCAGGAGGGCATCACTTATGTGGAGGTGGTGAAGGACAGAAGGTTGTGGGTGTTTTTTGACCGTGAAGCTGTTCCCTGTTGACCACCACCGCCATCAGCGGAAGGCATGCACGGGGGTGATAAGAGTGTCGGGCAGCCACAGACTGGCACACCTTGGGAGACCTGCACGAAGCAAATGGGGCGAGTGATAGATGGAGAAGGGGCTCCATTTGCAAATTATGTAGCAGGCTGTTTATGAGCCAATGAGGGAGGAGGCTTGGAGTTGTTGCATCGAAGCTTTACATTTTCCTTATCTGCTTTTAGAGCGGTTTAAGTAAAACTATTCAATAGTTCGGCAAACAGCGATTCATATTGCAATTGATGAGTGTCTGTTACCGGTACATGTCACTATCGTTTTATCCTCCAGAACTATGATGTAGGCTTCTGATAAGTGATGTCCTGAGTTACAAGTAAAGTAATGAGTACCTGTTCCCATTAGTTGTGAAAGCATTTCCCTCATAACCATTTATATTAACCTTATGATGTTTCTAGAGGAAAAGTCAAGGGATCATGAGAGTCAGCAGGATCTCTGGGAAACATCATGTTGAGATATTTCACTCTGGACCACAACTACCATCAGCTGCCACCCACACTAGAAACATTATTGCTTCCAAAAAATGTCTGATATACAATACAATGAAACTAGATGGTATAACATTTAAATTGCACATTTAAAGCAGGGTTGCTGGTGTTTTTGCCTGGAAGAATTGCTGTCTTGGTTTTTTGTGCATCGCTGAAGATCTGCCTGTTCAGTAACATTGCCACTGGGAGATGCTTGATGACTAGGAGACAAAGAGGGACTTTTAATTACAAAGACAACAGATGCTCCAAGGTTGCTTCTCTGCCCTTTCTTTCCGTAATTTAATTTGCTCTCTGTTAATTAAATATGTTTCAGCATTGCATTCCATGTGACAAGTATTTGAACACGTTAAATTGAGGCATTCTGAGATGGAGCACCAGTTCATCGCTGTGCTCTGAAGTGGTGCTTTGTGGAAAGTTTCACTGCAGTGTGGGAACACTTAAAAACACAAATTTCTTTTTCTTTAAAGGTTTTGCTGCCAAAAAAAACACATTTTATAAAAGTAACTTGTTTGCTACCGTGATTAAACAAACACACATACACTGAAGCACACACAAACAGCTCTTCTGAGGTGGTGCTGATAGTTGCTTCTTTCAGCCACTCGTCCTGCTTTACTTTTGGATTTATTTAAGAGCAGGAATTTCAAATGGACAAAGAGAAATTAGATGTAGGTGCCAGGAACCAATTCACTCCCCCTCTGCATCAGTCAGACATGGTGTTTTGCTCATTTGTCTGCTGGTTGTTGATTTTTTATTTGTGCTTCATATGACAAATATTTCCTCTGAGAGCTTAAAGCAGGAATCGATCAGGGTCAAGGCAGCCTGTATGTCTTGCATTGTCCTCCTTTTCCTAACTTTCCTGAAAATTCAAGATACCAAGTGCCCACTAGTGTCACCCACAGTGTAGAAAAAATGAATGGCTCTACATACTATAATTTGAAATTTGGTAAGGACAAAATTGTTTTTAGCCAATCCAATTGAATAAATTGTTGAAAAGCCAAATTTTTAATTATTGGTTTCTGAAAATGGAAAACCTGCAATATTTTCAAATGACAGTGGTATTGGGGCCCCAGAAAGCTAATGTAAGTGTTTATATATAGAGTTGTAATCTAATTTCATCCTAGAAAAAAGTGTCTGGTTGGCATTACACCAACCTGTAAACCCTCTAGCATCAGTAGAATTTAATGTGTGGCAAGTATGGCAAGCCAAGGTTTCAGTTTTTCCAACATCAGAGACAATTTTGTCAGTGTCCTCATCACATGTCAGTGTTCTGGGAGTTTATTCACACAGATATTGAATCCATTGGTTTCCCAGGTGCGATGTTTTTTGAGGATGAACATATAAAAACTTCCTTTTCTGAAAAAAACACAAATTTAGCCAAAATACTGCACATAACTTGGTTTTGGATCCCAAACAACAAATAAAACTCTGAACAACATCTGAGACCGTACAACAGCACATTCACTAAATTCAGTCGGAATTGACACAAACAGACTTTATGGATTTATGGATATTTTATTTTGTATTTTTAATTCATTCCCTAACTGTACTCGTCTCCGACTGCACTGTGTATACACAACCAGCAGTTCAGCCCAGTTTAGGCAAAAAGTCCTTGAATTTTTTTGTTGTGACTGTTGGTCACACTTTGTTTAGTCATGTCTTTACAGATACAATTAGGATGCAATTTATTTTCTTTTTTTTGCAGACTCTGGTTAAAGCAAACACGTTTTTTTAAAGATATTTTTAAATGAGACGTGTAGAATAATGGATTTTTGAGAGAAAAAAAAAATTAAGCTTTGATTTAGATTTGAGACAGAACCGTACATCACAGAAGATTAGAAACGCTGTTGGAAATTCGAAAATCAGAAGATTTTTTCCGTGTTTCTCATTTCTGGCTCTGATAAATGGTAGGAACATGCCTTTCAAACCCGCCAGTGGTTTTGGGGTTCAGAGGCTTAAGAATTTCAATGTGAGATCAAAACACAACAATGAGAAAAAAGTGGAGGCTTGTGTTTAGATCTTGCTTAAGGCTATTTAAATGCACATACATTTTGTAGTCTTATACAAAAAGCCATTTTAGCGTTTAGTTCTGGTTTTTCAGATGTGCAAAAGTTGGTAAATGACTGACAGGTGTTACTCATTGCCCAGGTGTTTCCTTTGCATGGTTGTTCACACATAAAAGGGAAGCGGGTGTCTAGCCTGCATTTCAGTCTGTCTTTTGAGATTGCATTTGAAGCCAGGAGGCTTACACTGACGTGAACACCAGAGAACTGACTATGACAGAAAACCAGCTCATCTGTAAAAAACAGAAAACAAAAAAAAAATCCTGAAGAACCATTCCTGTGATACGTCGAGTGTGGAAAGTTCTTAAGAAAAATGAAACCACTGGTGGACTTCAAAATAAACACAGGACAGGATGCTCGCAGAAAAAGAAAAAAGAAACTGCAGCTGATGACAGAAAAATCTGTAGAGCTGTGAAGAAGAGCTCCAGCAGTCACTGACATCAGCACCAGTCTAGAGGGTGCACATATGAAAGTGTCACAATCCACAGTTTGTAAAGGGCTTTGAAAGCAGCATTACAGAGGCTATACTACACGATGGACACCTCTTATCAGCAGCAAGGATCCAAAGGCTGCAACAGAATATGACAAACACACAAAGACACAAAGATCCAGACCAAAAATAACCTCAACCAGTGTGATGGAAAGACCAAAGGTAGAGAAAGACATGAGCCAGTCCACCTCATCAGAGAACCGTGGAGGAGGATATGTATCGCAGAGATTTGTAATTCAATTCTCACTCAAAAGAACCCTTCAGATATCCACAATGTCATTCTTCACTCTTGCTATAGCTGTATGTGGGATTTCTTATGGCAGATATGTGCAGCTCATCTGCAGATATCTACAATGCACACTGCAGATTTCTGCAGCTGATTTATGACAAATATTAACTCCAGTTCAAATGCCTAAAGTAAATTACAGATTAGTCCTAATTCTAGTTTAAGATAATAGTAATTCCTCTCAATTCAAGATGTTTAAATTGCCCTCTTTAGATATTTTCACTTTACTTTTAAGCTGTCAAAATGATGTAAATGTTAAAAATGTAATTACACATGTCTTGAATTAGAGGTTTGATTGGGTGAAAAAACGTTGCTGATATCTGTAGTAACGTCAGAAGCGAGCAGGAGGCAGAGTTCAGTTGCTTTTTAAACATACTATGGTGCTGCAGTCGTAACCATAAATGACAAATGGCTTTACTGCAGCCTTCTAGTTAATTCAACAACAAGCCTCTGATGAACTCTTGTTTTCCACAAACTTCTTGCTGATAAGTTCTTCCTCTTCTTGTGGCATATTCTAATGGTCTTATTCACCACTCCATCCACCACTGCTTCTGCTGGCACCGTCCAAATGTTTGGTTCGACCAGTATCTAATGAGAAACCTTGAGTGAGCAGCACAACAATTTGGTCACAAGGCTGCTGCTCATGTCTGCAGTTATCTTTTGACTGGTCCAAACTGAACTACAGATAACTCCTAAGTATTGATTTACCTTGTCTGAATGACATTTATATCTGGAATAGAAACCGACTGACTAGTCACAGTGTAGCTACGACGACTCAGAATGACATTTATATGAACTCTAGATAGTTGCACTCAGCTATTAAATGTTAGAACAGCTTGCCATGTGTGGCTGCTTCTGGAGCTGCCCCACTCATCTTTACTGATTCTATAGATGATGGCAGCTGCAGGATGAATTCCTGAGTGTACAAACACATTTTGTTTGTGTGGTTATGTGCAAAGTACTTCCTCGAGTCTCATTGGCTGAACCTTTATCCTGCAAAAAGACAATGACCCTAAAAAACACTCCCAGTGAAAGCAAAGCTTTTATCAGTGACAACTTAGACCGGCCAAGTCGGTCACCAGATTTAAACCCTGTTGAGCATTTTAGCTGCTGAAAAGGAGATTGAAGACAGAGAGCCCCGTAACAAACATCAGCTGAAGGCAGTTGCTTTGAAGGCCTGAAAAAACATTTCCAAAGAAGATACGAAACTTTTACTTCCGTCAGTGAATCATATTGATGTTGTCACTGCCTCAAAGGGCTGTGTGTTCCAGCCTTTATCACTTCGATTTTCCTTCGCACCCATCTATCAACTTTTAACATGTGAAAAAACAGAGACTACACAATTTCACTACTTACTTTTATATTGTAGGACACAATATATTATTGTTTTTGTCTATAGCATTGTGAAATTCTGTCTTTTTTGTGGGTACTTTTGTGGATTTTTAGGACCCCGTCACTCTGGGTGCAGTTTGAAAACCTACAAACGATGTTTTTACATTCATGGTCACGGTGTTTCTCCAAATGCACAAAGATAAGAATCAAGGCTCTCACAGTGCATAAGAAGAGCACATATAACTGAAAGCTTCTTGTGTTCACTTGCTTTTGTGTTTTGTCTCCTTTTGACATCACATCTGCAGATTGTTTTGTCCAACCAACAGTCGAAACCCAAGAGTTTGCTGTCAGAAAGTAATGTATTAAGGAAAACGATTAAGGAGCTGAAAGCAGTTGGCGTTTAATTTAATTAATCAACTAAGTGTTTCAGAAGTTTTCAATTTCTTTGACTCTTTCTTTATTAATTTGACTGTTCATCCTTACAAATCCATTTTAATGAGTCAGATTTGTCTTTGAGGATACACATTTATTATACGTTTGTGAATTATCAAACAACTGAAGCATTTTCTTGGACGTGAAAAACTGTATGCTGTACTTGAATCTTTTCTTGACACACTAGGTCTGTCAACCACATAAAATATCGACCTTTTCTCTGTGCTTTTCTAACCCCTGCCCCACCCCCGGAAAACACAACCCACTCCTTTCCTTATCAGGAGGTGGCAGTGGGCGAGCGCAGCAGGGGCGGACGGCTGCTGGAGGAGCCTAAAATTATGCTGTTTCGGGGGAACACTTTCAGCCTCCAGGTGTCCATCCAGGACGTCCCACAGTTACTCTGGAGCATCAAGCCTTTCACCACCTGCCAGGTAGGCGGTTTCTGGGACTTTCTGTCATCGCACGTAAAAGAATTTAACGCAGCAAGTGTGTTTACTGTATGTGCATCTGGATTTAAATGGAGCCTGGCTCTGTCACAGTCATGGACCTGGAGAGAAGCTGTGCGCCTTCATCTTCTCAGCTTCCTTCAGTCCTCCATTAGTCTCTCTGCTTTTTTCTTTTTCTTTTTTTTTTCTTTAACTTGGTCACATCAAAGCCAAAGGACAGCACCAAGGGCACAGCAGGAGATCACTAAGGCTAGCTATCTCACCCGCACACACACTCTTAGAAAATTAATTATGACTGCCAGGCAGGCGCACACACACACACACATATCATAGTTATCTTCCTAGGGGTCTACATGCTGCATGTTCTGCTCTACCCTGTGATGTTTATCCCACCAGTGACATCCTATTAGCAGAATTAGCCCACCATAATGCCTCCAGAATACCAACATGCATTTCTTAGAGAGGAAAGAAACAGTATGTGAGGATCCCACAGGGAACATGACTATAGGCTTTCATTCAGACACTCCTCTCACCTAAAGGAGGCTTTTATAAGTAGCTGTCCTCTTGTCTGATGGATCTGAAGAGAGGATGATTCATCTGTAAAACACTGTGTTTGACCTGATCTCACTGCACCGCTGTCTGGGTCACACAGTAGTTAGAAATGGAAGTTGAAAGAGGCCTTCTAGATTGCATTCGCTCCAAGGCGCTGATACGTTTGGTTTTTAACAGAAAACATTTATGCAAAATGTTGTGGAAAGTGGATAAATTGAGGCATCTCTGCCCTAATTCCATAATCACATTACAGTTCCTGATCTAACACACTGGTATTTATAAGCTTCATAGTTGCAGTATAAAAATACAGAAAATAAAAGCAAACAAGCCAACAAATGGGTAAATATGACTATGAAACAGTAAATTAACCCTCCAAACTCCAAGCTGTTTCTGGGCTTTTTTTATTTTTATTTATTTTTTATTTGCTTCTGTCACATTTTTACTTATGGTGGGCTCAATTTCACAGTAATATAAAGTCCTGCACCTCTACAGAAACAACACAGCCATGGCTAGAATTAGAGAGAACACACACACACATCTTCTCTATAGTATAATAACGTTATAAAGTCAAGGTCGTAGGAAATACAAAATTTAAGCAAATAAATACATAGATAAAGAAATTTATTTTCTTTGACTTTCTATTTGACTTTTTTTTTTCTTCTTTATTTAATTAGGAATCACCATGTACAAAATTTGTCCAACTCACCACGGATGTTACCAATACTGGGGGAAAAACAATAAACTCTACATACACACTGTAGATATTTTACTACTTAGAGTTTTAATTTGTTTCTGTATTTGTCTCCTGTGTGCTCTGTGAAAATAATGAGCTATGAAATACTGAAAACAACATAAATGGCTGCTTCTGGAGCTGCCCCATTCATCTCTACTGATTCTACAGATGATGGCAGCTGCAGGATGAATTCCTGAGTGTACAAACACATTTTGTTTGTCTGGTTAAGTGCAAAGCACTTCCTCAAGTCTCATTGGCTGAACCTTTATCCTAAAACAAGACAATGACCTTAAAAACACTCCCAGTGAAAGCAAAGCTTTTATCAGTGACAACTTAGACCGGCCAAGTCGGTCACCAGATTCCCTATGTAAACATAGCCTGCAGTTCAGCTCAGTTCAGCCAAATAGTCCTTGAATTTTTGTAACGCGATGCAGCCGAGTCAGTCATAGCTTCACAGTTGCACCCAGGAGAACATTTAGGTTTTTTTTTTTATATAAATTCAGGCCACAGCAAAGAGTTTATTTTTGACACATAGAATATTCATTTTGTGAAAATTTTACATTTTTACACTTAGTTTTGGTTGTGTTTTTTAATGTGTTGCATGCCACAGGCTGCAAGGTGGCTCGGTGGTTAGCACCGTTGCCTCGCAGCAAGAAGGTCGCCGGTTCGCATCCCAGTGAGGACACCCAGGCAGCATGGGTTCTCTCTGGGTTCTCTGGCTTCCTCCCACAAGGTCCAAAAACATGTTGAGGTTAATTGGTGATTCTAAATTGTCCGTAGGTGTGAATGTGAGTGTGCTTGGTTGTCTGTCTCTAAGTGTAGCCCTGTGATAGACTGGTGACCTGTCCAGGGTGTCCCCTGTCTTCACTCTAAATCAGCTGGGATAGACTCCAGTGCCCCCGCAACCCCAGTGAGGATTAAGTGGTGTATAGATGATGGATGGCTGGATGTCACAGATGAGAACTATCAGAAAGAAGAAAAACTTTTTTTTTATTTTTTTTTTTAAATCTAATACATTCTGATAACATGCAGTTAAAACCACTGGTGGTTTTGGGGCTTTAGAGTGTTAATGCTGAGCACTGTCTGACTATTTTTGCTGTTACTGTGGACTTTTATCACACTAATTATAACATATACGACTATTCATGCTGTAGGACGTAGTGTAAAAGAGCTCTTACAGATACTTAACAGGCTCCATTTTCATCCCAAGGGCTCTTACACCTGCTGCTCTGAGGTTGGTAAACTTCTTGATTAGCTAACACCATTGATTGGCTAAAGAGGCTACTCATTCAGTCTTAATTTATCATGTAAACAACAAAGTGGGTGGCAAAGCAGGATTCAAATAACAAATGTCAGCAGGGATTAAATGAGTGTGTTGTCTCCCAGTCTTAATCCCTTCATCATTATGTTCATCCTGTCCGCCCTCCGTGTGTCCTCGCCCGGCAGGAGTTCTCCTTTTCTCAGGTGTGGGCCAGTAACCAGCGTCCCCTGCAGTGTGCCTTCTCTTTGGAGCGATACAGCCACTCCTCGTCTCAGCTCTCCTGCAAGATCAGCATCCGACAGGTCACAGGCGAGGAGCAGATACTCCAGGTCTATACGTCTGTAGTGGAGGTGAGTAGCACTCCTAGAAAGCGACAGTGTTAGCTCACTGCGTGGGCAGTCATGCGGCCTGTTAATAGGTTCTTTTATTACACTGAATAACTCTTGATTTGATTTAAGAGCTTGCTTAATGAGCCTCTCAGGGAGCTTTTCATGTATAGATTGCAAATTGTCTTGATAAGTCCTTGTCCTTGTTCTTCATGTTGAGATGAGGAGAATTTCAGCTGCAGTATCAAGATCACCCTGAGACATCTCTGTCTGTCTGTCTGTCTGTCTGTCTTTCTTCCTGCTAGAATGAAAAGGGAGTGGTTCCTTTTTTCACTCAGTCGGACTGTACCATCACCTCTCAGACAGGGTCAAGGGCCTTTAAAATCCCCCTGTCCATCCGTCAGCGGATCAGTGCCACCTTTGACACCGCTAACGCCAATGGGAAGGACTGGCAGCTCTTGGCTCAGAAGCTCCACATAGACAGGTCTGAGTTATAGCACTCTGAAACCTACACGTCATTCTCATTCTTCAGTTGACATTTACATATTGCTGAGTCATCTTTGAATGTGCTTTGTTTTAGGTGATAATGACCCGAGAGCAAAAACGCTGTATGTTTTCTCCACGATGTAAACACTGTGGCAACTTTGAATGCTATTTTTAATCTGGAATTTAGGCACCATGTCAGCCACGATCTTCCATCACCAGCCAGCCTACGGTAACATGCCACAATACTGATTCTATTATAGATCTAAAAATCACATGCACAGAGAGAGCGAGAGCGAGAGGAGCGAGATGTAAGGGGGCAGCTTTAGCACGGTAACCGGAGAGAAGCGATGCCGTGTTTTGCAGAAATCTGAAGGAAGGTCTGTGACTGCTGACAGGCCCGCCTCTGGCAAGAAAATGTGTTCATGTTAGCACTTCTCATTAGCGACTTCTCTGCATGTGCTGCATCCTCCAACCCCTGCTAACCTCTGTGGAGGTTGTTCCAGGTCAGCCTCTGCGTAGGCTGTGGAGGATTTTAGTTGTTTGGTGATAGGGAGATTTCTGTTTGTGCTTCAGAAGAAGTCAATAATCAAGTGCTTATAGCCATGAAGACTCTCAGATCTGTGCATTTAGCTCAATCAAGAAATTAAGGGAAAAAGCCCAGAATGTGACTGTGCTCTGCCTTTCCAGTTGGAGAAACATGAGAGGAAAAAGTTAACTAAGAAACTATGACGGAAACTATGTGATTAAGGAATTTCGCTCCGACCGAGTCTGAAAACAAACATCTGTGACTGAGAAATGGGAAAGGATTTCAGAGCTTTTTCAACCCAGCCGAACACACCAAGAAGCATGTAATGGAAATATCTCTACTTCGTTAAGCTGATTTTTGTAATTATTTCTCTGAGTGTGTGGGAACATCATCATACCGAGGAGGGAAAGTGGCGTAGAGAGGGAAAGGGAACAGAAGGCAACAAAGGAAATCCCATTGTAAAGAAACAGTGCACTCTGTTGGATCGCTGTTATTACAACAGCAGGGGAAGGAAGTCAGCGGAAATGAAATTTTACTTGGATTCAATAAACCACAGCACAATTATATTTTAGCTTTACTGTACAGCTGGTATTTTCCGCCTTGGAACCCAACTTAATTGAGCTTTGCAGATTTTAATTTGTCAGATCAAGTGATTTCATTAAAAAAATAAATAAAAGAAGAAGAATTTTTTCAATTAGCGTTTTTCGAATTCTTGGAATAATAGTGATTTTTTTTAAAGTCCCACTTTGCTCAGAATGTTTTGCTTATTGTCACTTTATTAGATGCTTGACCTTCACGGTGCAGAATGATGTGTGAGCAGAGCTTTTGACACTTGGAGGCTGTTTTCCACATTCATCTGCTGGAGGAGAAAGTGTCTGCTCTCACCTTAAATCTGAGTTTAACACCAGCACATGCAAGCTTAAATTTGTGACAGCACATCGACTTTGAAGGTGTGATGTGGAAACTTGAAACCTCCCACACACTTGCTGTGAAGTACAAACAGCAGTTTAACTTGCAGATTCATAGACTCTGGATTTTTTTTTCTTGATGCCAAAGAGTAGATACATTTCAAGATGTTGGCTGAGCTTTAAAGTGAGCCTTAAATATTCAGGAATTAATACATTATTTAAAAAAAAGGTATAACACAGAGGTTAAATTGGGTTTTGTGACGACGAGGTGCCTTTCTCCAAGGCAGTCAGGAGCCACAGGTCAGACTGCCTACATTAGAAATATTGATTTCTTCAGTAAAAAGCAGTTCTAGTTTAAACTCTACACATTGTGTTGTATTACTGAGCAACAATGGCTCAAAAAATTCTGAAAGTTTTTTTTTATTTTTTTATGTTGTACCACAAATTAAATTCTCTTCCCTTCTGTTGTATTTGGTGGTATTTCAGAGTCAGATGTCTCAAATCTCACTCTCCCTCCAATCGAACTGTCTAATCAGCCAGATTCCACTTGGGAGAAACCAGACCAGCCTCGGTTTTGTTTTTCTTCTATTTGTATGCTCTCTGTCACTTTTGGTGAACAAAAGATAACAGTGAACCGGAGGCAGTGTGGCGTACCAAAGGAGTAATAATACAGTATATAGAGCTACATTTAAATACACTACAGTGGATGAGCATTTTAATAACTATGAACATTGACATTCCTGCCATACATAAAAATAGACATCTCTTATCTCCCAACTAAACTATCTACAGTAACTTATAGGCTGATATTAATACATTTCTGTCTCCATAGGCTGACTGTCTGCTGCTTTATGTTTTATTCACTCAAGTGATTACATCAGTTCATGCTGGCAGTACTGCCGCAATTTAATACAAACAGCAAAACTGAAAATGTTCCATCCACTTCACACATCCGAAGAAATTGTCCAGAGGAAACGATATTTCCTGAAAATAAAAACATATCAACAGCTGCGATGGTGCTGGATCCATTCTGAGCTCGACTTAATGATTTCACTGTAGAAACTGTGAATCTGTGCAGCAGCTGTTTTCTGGGAGAGAAGCAGTTAGCTTGATAAGGAAAGGTTGAAATAATCACTGAAGTCACCTGCTGTGCCAGGTGCGTAAATCGCACACGCAGCCTCTCTCTCAGTTTGGAGATCGTATCGATCCTGCTGATGTGTGATGCTACTGCTGTTTGATGGAGTCAAAGGAAAGAAGGCAACAGTCTGCATTCGTTTGTTCAGCATGACACAGCGTCTGAAAGCACATTTCAAGAGTTGTGTGTGAGGTGGTCATGCTGTGAGCTCCAGCAGGGCGCGTTTTGGATATCAGGAGGTAGAGTTCAGCTGCAGTCGGCTGCAACCCAGTTTAACCCCTGGTGAAATATCCTCCACGTATAGTGTATGATAAAGGGCCAGTCCTCTGATACTACAGGTGAAGGTCAGGTTATATATGAAAAGATCCACTGCTCAGTGGGTGAAACAGCTGGGCTTCTAGCTTCATCTTAGTTTTAACCCTCTGAACAGCATTTGATTGTTTTTTAACATCATTTTTAGTCACTGTGGCCTCATTTTTCACTGCAATACAAAGTCCTGCACCTCTTTAGAAACAGCACCACTGTGGCTCAAAGTCAAGAGAACTCAGAAATGTGTTGTGCAGTGTGACACAGTTCTGATGCCATAAATCATTAAAGAGAAAAAAGTAAATGTTTTTTGGATTATTTATTGTATAAACAATTTAAATGGTTGACATGAGCATCATTTTCCCCAGTGTCTACAGATGTCACTGATCCTGGACAATACGGGTGACTCTACATACTACAGATGCTTTACAACATACATTTATCATTTGTTTCCGTACTTGCCTCCTATCTGCTCCGTGTGAACACAGCCTGCAGTTCAGCCCAGTTGAGCTGTCTCTTAATTTTTTCCATGTGACTGTTGGTCGCAGCTGAATGACTAATAGCTTCACAGTTGTGTCGAAGAGGGCAAACGTTTTTCTTTTTTACAGAATCTATTCTGAGCACACAGTTTGTCTTTGGCAAATTTTAAAATGAGACATGCAGGATAAAGTGATTTCGATGAATAGTCATGTTTTAAGGATAGATTTGCTTAATTTTCCAGATGGAACTACACAGATGAATAGTTCTCAGTCTGATTATTCTTTCTGTTTTTATAGTTTCTGGCTCTGATAAATGGTGTAATTTGGTGGTTTTTTAAAAGATAACATGCCTTTCAAAGTTGTTATGACATTAAACAGAGAGTCTGCATTACAAACCAAACTGGAGATGTTGAGCTTGAAAGAAGTGAATATTTAAAAGGCAGAGAAGGTCTAACAAAAGATAATATTGAGTATTACAAAGTCCACATCTCCATTCCAAGGACTAAAGTCAGCACATAATATCATCCGCTGCTTTGATTTTGACCATTCTTTTTCATCTTGCCTCTTGTGAATCCAAATGTATTTAAGTGTGATACTGAATCACATAATTCCCTCTTTAAAAATGTTTTTGCAATAACCTCTCTACCATAATGACTGCAAAGCCATTACTTCATTACTGAATCACTTCTTTGTTACTCATTGCCATGTGATGTGCTCTATTATTAAAATATTCCATTTTCCCTGGCCTCTAGGAACCTGTGCTACTTTGCATGTCAGGAGAGCCCGTCGTCAGTGATTCTGAGTTTGTGGGAAGCTCAGCACCAGGACTCGGGGGACCTGGACTCTCTGGCCAGTGCCCTTGAGGAAATCGGCAAGGTTCAGTCCCCGAGGGCAGCCACTCTTCCCTGCAGCAAAGAAGAGCGGGACTCTGAACTCACAAAACTTGGGTAGGGCAGAGTCGACCGCAGGTCAAGTTATGATGAACCTTTACTGCATGAACACTGGTGATCAGGTGGTTTACTAACTAACCTTTGGTGAAGAGAAGGAGGAGATGCGTAGAAGGACAGCAGGGAATTTTGGACTGTTACTAAAGGAACACTTCTGCTAAACCAAATGGCCCAAACAGACACATCGGAATGAAGAAATGACAGAGAGATGAGTATTTGTGTTATTGAGAGGCACCAACAAATATTGGAAAGGGATATGACTAAGCCCCACAACTATCTTTGATTGAGAAATGTCTACTTCTGACACTTGTGAAGCCCGATTTGATAACCTGTATTCACGGATTATAGCTGTCTGTGTGAGGAAGACTGTCCTTGTTGGATAGAGTGTGTTTCCGACAGACTGCCAGTCAGGCTGCTGTTGTGACCTTCCAGCACTGAATTTGCTGGTACTTGCCCTCAAACAGTCGGCCGGGCTGTCAAAATGTTTAGTGTAACGTCATTTTTTTTGTCATTCATTTTCTAGATGCTTCCTTTTCTTTTCTGCACCGTGTCTCTAATGTTTCTGCTGGAGTTAGATAAAAAAGAATATATATAGATATATATATATATTGGCTCTTAATTTTGTCAGAGCATCGTGTCCATACCATGGCATCAAAAACACGAGTGTCCACAGTGCTTAGTATTTCAAATGACTTAATGATAAAAACAAAATATATCATAAGGACATGTAAGAGATGACTTACACAGACATGAACAGTCATTTTGAAAGTCGCCCACATACACACAAGAACATTTTCAACCCTACAGACAGACCAATTTGTCAAAGCAAAGACTGCAGAGGAGGATAAGTTACCCGGCTGATCCGTGCCTCATCTGGCATCACAGCCAGAGGTGAGCTGCATCCCCTTTACTTTTCAACTTCTAGTTAATTTGGAGGAAAATTAATGTTTCACTGTGTGTCAAGTGACTTCTAACCCAAACAGACAGTGGGAACGCTACATACCCCGCAAATTGCTGGCGCTGGTGAAGTGGTGTGTACTTTTAAAGCCTCCAGGGGCTCATGTTTTTTCTTGATTTTTTAAAAAAAATTAAAAGTATGACTTTTGATGTGTGGCTTTACTGGAGCTGCCTCTGTCGGATCGCCTGGCTCATCAAATACCTGGACGTCGTTATTTGGAGACACTTTCATTCCCTCTCCTCTGTGTTCTCTTCCTGGACAGAGCCATTTGAAAAAGATATCGTGATCAGGAAAGATCCCCACATTCAGATGCTCCACCTGCCCCCAAGCTTAATAAAGTGACTTTGTGTTTAACTCTGTGTTGGTGCTCTCTTTTCATCTGCTTAATGAATTGAAATGTGAAAGGCCAGACAGCCCACACACTCAGTGGAGAAATCGGTAAATCTTCAAACACTGTATTCTGATAAGAGATGAAACAGAGACCCATACAAAGTCCAGTTTTCAAAGAACCACATATGCGCTGTTTGAGTTTGGATGGCAGATCATTGCTAATTTACCATGTTGATGTTGCATTGTGTAGATGTTTGAATTGCACTAAAAGAAAACCTTGAATTGACTGAGTATCATAGTCACTTCTGAAGACTGCTCATGTGTAAAACCTATAAGACATTATATGTCCAAGAAGCTTTTTTCATCGTGCATGGCAACCTCTGTCTTCTAACTCTGTCAACTTGCTTGAATAACAAGCCCACTCTGAAAGCTATCAGATAGTTTTAAATTCCTCCGCTTCTCAATGCAAGTCTGCTAAAAGACAATTTAACATCTTAGAGTTACTGAGGCCAAGTGAAGCAATGTTGCTGTCCTCACTTAAAAGTACTTTAATGCATATTTTTTTGTAAATAAATAAATTGCTCTCTTGCCGAGAGTCAGGTAAAAGACAAATACCAGTGTTACATGCAGCGACAGCCAGCAGCCAGTTAGCTTAGCATAAAGACAGAAGGCAAGAATGAACCAGCGTGACTCCATCCACTGGGAACAAAAGACTGTTTTGTGCTGCAGGAACTTGCAAACCATTTAAGGGAGGCGCAAATCTTTGTTCCAACTGCAAGAACTGTAATGTAGAACCTCATTCAGGGATGAAAAACTGAAAATCCACTACGTGGGTCTCAACGCTGATTGGTTAAAGTCAGAGAAGACAAGCATCATTTTTTTTCTGCATTCTTGGCCTCATCAAGTGGCAGTTTCATTTTCTCAAAAATCGCCATCTTCAGTATGAAATTCACCTTATCGACTAACATAACAAACCCTCCACTGTGACATCTAGGAACTCCTTTTGGTGCTCTCAGAGCTAACATCACCATCAAAGCTGTCAGATTCTTCAGCACAACGGAAGCAGAAATCCTGAAAAGGCCTCTGCCAGACCCGTTCCTATGAGCATTCCCGCTACCTTGTGCCTTCCCTGAGTTCCTGCAGTGGAAAGCTGCCTAAACGTGTCCACCAGCACCTCTAAAGTTCACTAATAAACACATGAAACTGGTGTGTATGAACTTTTTACAAAGGAGTTATGCTACGACTGTTTCCTACCCACGCACTGTCTCTTCCTCCAGTCTTCATGCTAAGCTAAGCTAACCAACTGCTGGCTGTAGCCTTGTATTTACCAGACCGATATTAGACTCGTCTTTTTATCTGAGGCTCAAGATTTGCAGGAACGCAGATAATCAAATTTCCCAAAATGTCAAACAGTTCTTTTAATTAATTCAGATTCCCAGCTTCATTGTCAAGCTGGCAAAGGAGGATTCAGATTCAAGTGTCTTCGTGCTGCCTTGATGTTGATTTGCTCGTTCCTGGAAACATTTGGAGATATCCACCCACAGAGAGCTTTGACTGCCAGTTAATCAAACCTGCCTGTAGTCTGTCAGAAACACCACAGTATCGACAGCATGGAGAGGGACAGAGTTTTCTCTGTTGATTCAAAAAGTGCTGTTTAAAACAGCCAAAGCTTGGGCTGCATTTACTTCTGGAGGAAAGTGTCTCACGTGGAGACCTTTCTTTGCTGTCACTTGCTGAGTTAGAACCACAGGATCTAAACATATACAGCTGATGGTACAGTGAGTTTCCTCTCTCTATCTAAAGTTTAAAGTACATTCCAAAATGGCTGAAGAAACAGGGGCATAATTATCTATTTAAAAAATCGCCAGTTGCTTTCTAAATTGGCTGATTTGGTCAGTGAAATGTCAGAAAATAACAAATAATGTCCAACAGAGTTTCCCAAAGCCCAGATTTCAGTGTCATATTCCAACCTGAGACACTGAAACTTAGGATTTTGTGGCATTTTAGCTTAATTTACTTGACTGATTGACTTATCAACTGACTGATTATTCATTTCAGCTATATATGTAAAGAGAAGCCCTACTTTTCTGGTCCTTCGAGGTCATGTTGTAGAAGGAAAGCAGACTTTTGGGAAATAGTTCGACCCAGTTACTCAAGATCATACTTTTTAATACACTGACTGAAGGCAAGACCAAACATATTAATAGTATCTAACACAAGCTCTTGATGCTAATGTCTATCGTCAGTAGTGGCTACAGCTCAACTAGACAGCATACACTTATCAAGGTAAAGTAGCATTTGATTGTCTAAAAAAACTCTTTTTTCACCTCTGAGTGCTAAGATAAGTGCTGAAAAAAACTTTTTTCCATTTCAGGTGGTGTATAGGGAGTTTCAGAAGTACAGCTGTGAAGTTTTAAGAGATTTCATAACTAAACAAGTTTAATGTTCACGATTTGTCAAAGCTGAATGCTGTCACCGCTACACTGACTTATGATTTTTGGCAGTAACTGCATTATTTCCATACTCGCTCCTTCTAAGTGGGATCAACAGCTACTTTCTTGTAACACATGAACAAGAATTTCCAGCTAACTTTTAGCATGTTGACGCCTCTGGATGAATGTCTCCCACAGCGCCGCCTGGAAGTACAGTCATACCAACTCCAGGTCTGGTGCAGGGGACCTCCAGCACAGCTGCAGTGGTGCCTAATGGTGCCAAACGTTGTTTCTCTTGGAAAGAAAAAAGAAAGATCATTTCTGTAGTTGCTCTCAAAAGAGGAAAGAAGAATCTGACTCAAAGGATTTCTCCAGTTTCTTGAGCTATTACCCACAACATATCCCACTGATGCATCATCATTCCCTGAGCTGACTCTTTGAAAATGGCTCGGCCCATTCTGCCCAAGCACAGGATATGTCCTGCATCCTCGACAAGCCCCAGTGTGGTAAATCATTTCTGGTAACCTCAGATGTTTTGGAAACTTTTTATTGTATTTACAGATGTATCTGAGCTTGGGATGGAATCAATCAGGTCTCTTTGGAGCTCCAGAAATAGGATACAACACTCCACTGCAGCTGTGCACGGAGACGTCTTAGAGGCAAGTACAGAAGAAACAAAAACACAGGCTGGAAATACATAGAGGGCAAAAATATGTGTGTGTGCATGGATTAATGAGAAATAAAGCCAAAGATGTGACTTTTCCGAAAGTTTCCTGACATATTACAGGAAAATACCAAAACGCCACCAACAACTAAAGAAAGACTGAAAGTAGGAAAAAAGCTTGAAACTGGTAGATGCCTCCTGACAGCCTTCCCACTGAGTGTCCTAATGAGGATGCTGCAGTAAATGGATGAAAGCTGATGGTCTACTGAGCAACCAAATTACCAGTTGCATTTAAAGACCAGGACTGTGATGGAAATGTTGACGTGTAAAAACGCCAGTGCCACATCCCACAGAACACCTGCCAATGGACGATTTTATTTTTTTTTCCACATCAAAGCGGAAAGTACTTCATAAAGGTTTTGTCATCCTCTCTGCATATGAGAGTATGATCAGTATTACGCTGCATTCCCCGATTTTCAGTGATTTCCTGTCAGGAGAGCTGCCACTCCTTGTGCTATGCAGATCTATAACTAGCAGTGAGTCTGATTTAGGCCGCTTCATAATGATTTTACGGAAACTGCAAGAGCAGAAGATTACTTTAGACATAAGAATTTTGTTTT